AACACAAGAGACCATGAATAGCCAAAGCTACCCTGAAAAATAAAAATAAAGCTGGAGGAATCACAATTCCAGATCTTGAGACATATTACGGGGAAGTGGTAATTAAAACAGTCTAGTACTGATACAGAAACAGAAAGGAAGATCAATGAGTGGATCAGCAACCCCAGAAGAGAGCCTACAAATGTAGAGACAAATAACCTTCAACAAGAGAACAGTAAATAACCCAGGAAAGGGCCCAGCACGACAGCCTAGTGGCTAAAGTCCTTGCCTTGCACACACCAAGATCCCATATGGGTACCTGTCTGTGTCCCAGCGGCCCTGCTTCCCATCCAGCTCCCTGCCTGTGGCCCTGGGAAAGCAGCTGAAGATGGCCCAGGGCCTTGGGACCCTGCACCAGCAAGGGAGACAGACCCCCATGGAGGAGGCTCCTAGCTCCTGGCTCCTGGCTTTGGATTGGTGCAGCTCCAGCCATTGTGGCCACTTGGGGAGTGAATCATCAGATGGAAGATCTTCCTCTCTGTCTCCTCTCCTCTCTGTATGACTTTCCAATAAAAAATAAATAAATAAAATCTTTAAAAAAAATTTTTAAATGTAAAAATAAAGAAAGGATATACCCTGACAGAACAAGGAGGAGTACATGAAGTGATTAATGGAATCTGTCACCTCTATTCCAAGAGCATTATGTTCACTAGCACAAAACGACGAATCTTCATGTTCAGCACAGGTAGTTTTATACTCTGTGCAATCTATCAGCACCAACTATTTGGGAAACAATAAAATATAGCTTTCCTCTCTTGCAGGTGATTCCACCTAGAATGTACCTTTTTCCAGTTATACTCTTCCTGTAAAAACTTGTCTGTTTCTAAATTTTAAAACTTCAGAATAACCAAGACCATGCAGAGGCAACAAGCATTGAAAAAGAGTTAGAGAAATTCTTCAGATCCTGAGACAAAACCATCAGATTGGAAAGGAAGAGGTTTCTGAGCCTGGGATAGGCAGGGACTGTCATCAGCAGTAGTTAGGCAAGACGCAACTTCATCCTTCAGCATCCTCTTAAGGATCAAAAATATATGAAGGGGTGGTAATACAGAATAGGGGTGACTGGGGTATGATCCAATGAGCTGGAAGTCACAGCTCCTACCCCATACATAACATCATCCTCCCACCTGGTCAATCAAAAGCCCCTTTCCCAGGATCCTTCTGTCCCATTCATATCCTGGGGGAGATAGTGTCATGAAGTTATGTATGCTAATACTCATCTAGAATTTGTAGAGGTAATCATATCATCTCGCCCACAGAAGCATCCCACATACACCAATCTCATTAAACAGGCCCACAAAGGAGCTCTCTCTGTGCCTCATAGCATAGCTGGAGAAGGTGCTGCGTGTTTTTTTCTGTTTCCCTTCTACCTGCCTGTTTCTTCCTTTAAGTCCATTAACCGCTCATAACTGGTAAATCTTTGCATAAGGTAACCCATATTTTGTATGTATATGTATGCGTGTATGTGTGCACACACTTTCATTCTCTCTTTTTAAATAACATTTTAATACTTTGTGCATATTACATACATGTATACACAGAACGTGTCTCCAGGTAGCAAGCACGACCCAGGAAAAATTTAACAGTCTACTCCCCCACTTCAGTTTTGGTTGTGGATAATGGGTTGATGCCTGGCAACTCTGTGATTAGAAGGATTTAGAACAACTTCTTGTTTAGAAGGATCTAGAGCAACATTCCTCCAGGAGGGTTTGGTAACAAAATGTTTCATTAAAAACATAAACTCAGATGGATTCAAACCCAAGACTATAAACTGACACTGTAATGCTAAGATAACTATGCGCCACCTAGTGTTCAACTAAAAACACACTCTCAAAATAATTCTGCAATGTACCACCTTGTAGGCCTTTCTTCAAGATTCACAAGGCACAGGTCTGTCTCTGAGATCTGTTGTGATCTGTCTCACTCCATGTCAGTTTCATCTCTTATGCCAGCAACCCTACTTACTAGTCCTATGCTCTTTGGCAAGCACACTGGAAAAAGTCCACAGCTCCTGCTTCTGCCAACAGCTGCCCCAAACCGGAGACACTGAGCCAAAGGCTGGTGCTGGCCACTACAAAGGGTTAGGGTGAGCTCTACCACCCAACAGTGCCACACGCCTCTCCACTGTCCAGTGCCCCAGGCCTGTCACAGCTTCAGGATGTGTTCGAAGCAGAGCTGATCACATGCCTCCCTTACTCAAAACACCACGGAAAGCCTGGCAATTACACTGGGAATCAAGTGACACTTCATGGGCATGAACTTCTTGATTACTTGGTATCTTCTCTCCTGCACTTTGATCCTCTCATCCCAAATCCTCGCCTCACTGGTCATCCTCCCAGCCAGCAAGTAGTTTTAAGTTTTTCTACTTCCACACCTTTCCATATGCTCCCACCACCACTGCTTCCCAGTGTCTGAAAGCTACAACTGAGAGCTGAGACTCAAACCCAGGTACCCCACTGTGGGATCTGGTTACTTCAACTGTTAGGAGAAACACTCATCCCTAAAACCATGAGTCTTGAAATGGTCCTGATCCCCATGGACTTTGGGGGTGGTTCCAGGGCCAGGGCAAACTGATAACAGCTTTTTGCCACCATTCCTTCATCTCATACTGTTCCCAGAACCCCAAAAATAAGACCCAATAACACAAACACATGGAGTGTCTCCCCTTGTGCTTTCTGGACCCAGGGCTGCTGAGAATTCGCAGCTGAGCTCATCCTGGAATGAGTACTTTGTACCCAGGAGGTTAATAGTGACTTGGCACCCGAGGGAGCAGCCAGTCCTGGGCAGGAAGCAATACACAGCCCAGTCCAAGAACTCCTGCAGATCCTCCTGCACCTTCTACTCAAGAGCCAGGCCTTGGGGCAGCGGAAAAGGAAGCAGGCTGGGTCCTTGGGTGGGGCCACCTACACTCCTGGCAGCTCAGGAACCACTGCTGTGGTTCCAACACAGTTTCTCCTGTCCCAGACCACATACACAGCCCAGGGTATGTCACGTGTCCAGGGTATGCAGGGGTTGGCCACACACTCTGGTCGTGATGTTCAGAGGTGACTCCTTGCGAAGTGATTGAATTTCTGTAAGCTTATCAGGTGAGTGCACATGACTGAATCCTGAGGCTTTGTAAGAAGACACCAAAGATACAGCCTGTCCCTACAAGCATCATGCCACCTGCTTCCCCAAGTCTCCGCCAGCAAGAACTCAGCCCATTCAAGGACCACGTCGTTTTGAACCTCAAAACCGTAGGTCCAATAAACCTCCTTTCTCTATAAAAAATCTCCTTTCTCAGGTATTTCTTTATAGTAATAAAAAGCCATTCGAGTGCTGCAGGCTTCAAAGTATGAAGAACAGAAGTATGGATAACTGCGCGTGCATCTGACACCTTGGGGAGGGACCTGAGGTTGGGTGACACAGGTTCCAGTCAATCCCAACAGGACTGAGTGTGACAGTAGTAACTAGCTTATTATTAACACACCTTGATTGGCCCCTTCCCACGACCACCACTCTAGAATCTATCTGAAGTTCAGCTCCTAAGGGAAACAAAACATAGCTGAGGTGGTCGTGGCACCCACCAGGTCCCCAAGAACTCTTGAAGCAGAATCTGCTAAAGTAGTTAGGACCCTACCACACACACGGGAGACGCAGCCTAAGCTCCAGGCCTCCACGCCACCCCAGCTCCTGTGGACATTTACGGGATAAACTACTATAGAGAAATATCTTTCTGCCTCTTTCTTCCTCTTTCTCAGTCTCCCTGATTTCCAAACAAATACGATGAAGACAAAAAATTAATACAACGTGGGGGCAGGGCATTTGACAACATGGGACACCCACATTCCATTTTCAGAGTACCTGGCTTCAAGTCCTGGCTCTGCTCCTGCGTCAGCTTCCTGCCAGGCTGCACACTGGGAGGCACCAGTGCTCGGGCACTGCCATCTGTGAGGGAGACCCGGACTGAGTTCTCGGCTCCGGTTGCAGCCCAGCCCCAGCTGTTGTAAGCACTTGGGGGCGAAGCAGAAGTTGGGAGACGCCTCACTCTCCCTCGTGACTCTGCCTTTTAAACAAAGACAAAAATATTTTTGAAAACCATTCGTTGATAAACTTATGTTTTAATTCCGTGTTTCACATTCAATACAGGTCTGGTTTTTCTTTCAAAAGATTTTCCATCTGCAGCGGGTTGAATGTGCAAATGCAGAACTCAAGGCCGCAGGGGACCCCTCTCCTCATCCGTGAAGGCACAAATCCTGTGTCCTTGCCCCAGTTCAGCCCACCCTAAGACCCAACCCTTGCCTCTGAGTCCCAGAGAGGCTTGGCTGAGGCCTTGGGCCCGTCCTGCCTCGAGATCCTCTCTCGTCCTTTGCACCCTTTCAGCCACAGGTGCTCCTGCGGAGAAACACTGCCCCTGCCTCCGGGGTCATCCCAGGGCCTCCAGGCTGCGCAGCCCTCTCTAGCATCCTCCGCTCTCACCGCGGCGGTCACTCCGAGTCACAGGTCACCAGGGGCTCACTGGAAATCCCACCCAGCCCAGGCCTGGCTTGCTGCAGGCTTCTCTCGGCAGCGAGGGTTATTAACTGGGGGGTGCTCTTTCACTACCTGGGGGTTTGGAAGGAGGATCTGCACCCCACCTCCCCTATAGGTTAGAAGGGAATGAGCAGGGCAGCCGGGGGAAAGTGACACCACCTTTAATCAGGAACTTTCAGGAGACACGGGGTGGCAAAGTCCCAGGGGAGCCCCGGCCCCCATCTCACGCCTCTTCCTCTGCGGCCCTGGAGTCCACATCTGTTGAGTTGCACAGCTGGGCAAGCGTCCCCAGGGGAGGCTTCCGTCCAGCCGTCTGGCCGCAGCCGTGTTGCTTCCAGGAGTGAGCACCTGCCCACGTGCCCCCGAGAACCCCAGAGTCCACGCCGGGGCGCTCCCTGGGCCGCGAGCACGGGGTCCTCCATCCCGGCTCGCCCAGGCACAGGTCCTGCTCACAACATGGCGTCCTCGCCCCTCGGAGTCTTCTCTGAGGGCGGCTGGGCACGAGGGCGGGCGGAGGCCGGAGCAGCTGCTGCGAGTCTGGAGGTGGCGGCTGAGAGTCCGCGAGGCCCGAGCGGGCGTGTGGACGCCTCCGAGGGGCCCAGCGTGGAAAGGGCCGCCACTTGGGTCGGGAGCGTGGTGGACCGCCTGGACACTGTCCGGCTCCCCGACGAGGCTGCGGGGCCCCGTGCAGGAGTGACAGGAGGTGGCCACGGGGCCCCCGGAGGGGCCGGAGGGGGCGTGGAGGCGCCTGGAGGCACTGAAGGCCTTGGGGAGAGCGGAGGGGGTTGGGAGCGCCCGGGTTCTCCCCGAGTCGACCCCTCGGGTCCCAGAGCTGGTGAGCTGGACGCCGGAGCTCCTGAGGGGCGGCCAGGTGAGGCGTGCGCGTCAGAGTTTGCGCCCAAGAGGCGCTGCAGGAGAGGGAGCGTGGATCGGGCCGGCAGGGCCGGGGGTGGACCCGGACTGGAGGTGCAGTTGACCGGGGCAGTGGCGTCTCCCCGGGGACTCCGAGCGGCTTTATCCAGATCCACGGCTCCGTCTCTGTGAGGGACTGGGCCCTGCCGTTCCTCCGCCGCAAACAGGACCTCTAGAGAGAGAAAGAGACGCACAGCGGTGCCCCCTGCTGGCCGACGCGGCTCTACACAAGCTGCAGGCAACAGGCTAAGTGCTGACCTAAGGGCGGCGGCCAGCACCTGTGCGAGCAGCTTGTTCCCATCTCCACCTAAAGACCCAAAAGGATCCCTGGATGGGACAGTTCAGCCAGGTGGCTCTGACAGGGATCCACAGGGTGACCTTGTGCAAGACACATTAACTCCCCTGATTTGTTTTCCCAGCTATAAAATAGGCAGAATCCCGACTAAGGACTTTGAATGTGTAGGTTTAACGGTGATGACGGAGGTACCCTGCTGGTGCAGGATACTGGGAGTGGTGAGGCTGTGAGATGTGGGAACAGAGGGGCTGGGGACTTTCCTAGTCCACTTTGCTATGCACTTGACACTGCTCTAAAAATAATAATAATAATAAAGCCTAGTAAAAACGTGTCAAATCTCAGCCAGGAGTTTAATGCATCCTCAGGGCTCAGTGTACAGAGAACAAATAAGCAAGAGACTGCATGGTGAGCAGTGATGATACTGGAGGGGTGAGTGGAAGGCGGAGGCCACCAGGCACACCCAAAGCCCAGAACGATTCTATTTATAAACCCAGCAAAGGGCCTGTGTTGTTATGCAGTGAGTAATGCTGTTGCCTATGAGGCTGGCCTCCCATGTGAGCTGGTTGGAACCCAAGATGTTCCCATAATGGGCTTGCAACAGCAGCGGAGCATGGCCCATGTGCTTCTGCCCTTACCCTTCAAGCTGATGTTCTTCTTGGCTCCTGCTTTCAGGATAAGCTATTGAGGGCACACAGGAAGTGAATCAGGGCATAGACGAGCTGTAGCTCTCAAATAAACATAAAATGAAGCACAAAAATTATTCATATCGGGCCAGTGGCGTGCCTTAGTGGCTGAAGTCCTCGCCTTGAACGCGCCAGGATCCCATATGGGCGCCGGTTCTAATCCCAGCAGCTCCACTTCCCATCCAGCTCCCTGCCTGTGGTCTGGGAAAGCAGTCGAGGACGGCACCTTGCACCTGCATGAGAGGCCAAGAAGCTCCTGGCTCCTGGCTTTGGATCAGCTCAGCTGTGGCCGTTGCAGCCACTGGGGGAGTAAACCAGTGGATGGAAGATCCTCCTCTCTGTAAATCTGACTTTCCAATAAAAATAAATAAATCTTTTTTTTAAAAAAAAAAGGTGGGGGAAGAAGAAGCGGCAGCAAGACAAGCCCCACCATGCCACCTGAAGCGAGCCACACACCCTCTCTGAGCCTGGGTCTCTCACCTCCACACCTCACAGGCTCTGTTCGTGAGAAGCAGAATGTAGCAGAAGATGACGGAGTCCAGAACACAGGACCACTCACCTGGGCAGGAGGAACAGCAGTCCCCGGACAGCAGGGTGGGGTCCACACAGGCCCACTGGCAGGGGATCCTCTCACAGCTCACCTCACCCAGCTGGAGAGATAGAGGGACAACGTGAGGCCGCTCAGCCTACCTGGGGGGTGGTGACTCCCCAAGCTTCCTGCACCAGTACCAGGACAGAGCCTGCAGTGGCTGGACCCTCACCCAGACAACAGGTGAGCCAGTCCTAGTGGGGCCACCTTACAGCAGTCTTGAGCTGCACCTTCACCCAGAGACAGTCAAAACCAAAGGCCTCAAGGCAGTTGATTAGGAAGAATGGCCTATACTGATGAGGGGTCAGGTAGTTGGCAGGAAGCAGCCCCTTGCCCAGGCAGCCCCGGGTTCTCAGGCCGAGCTTACCTGGCATATGCACCGGGTACAGGGCTCGTCATCCAAGGCGAACACCTGGCCGTTCCCCACCTTCCTGCCCTCGTAGTTGCAGTCTGCAGAGGCACAGGACACGGGGCTCATGAGAGCCAAGGCCAACCTGGGAGCCTTACACAGGGGCAGCTGGTCGCACTCACCCCAACACACTGGGCAGCACTCCCCATCAGGGTGGAAAGGGTAGGTACAGGTGATGGGGCAGTCCATGGGCGAACAGGCCACTGAGCCCAGCTGCAGGACACAAAATGCATAAGGCCCTTGCTCAGAACAGCTGACACACACTTAGGGAGGCCCAGGCCCCGGGTGCCCATCAGAACAGCTTATGTCACTGGCATACAGGGTGGAGGGCATTACTCAGTGACAGCCATCTTCCACAGGCACATGCACCCCACAGGAGCAGGGGCCCGGCCTTGTTTGTGAGGTTCCCTCCCTCCCACCCACCCTCCCCACCATCTCCCCATCAGCAAGTGTCTGGGACAGCTACATGAACTGTTCTGGAAGGTGAGCACTGAACACCCGAGAGAAGAGCCTGGAGACCAACCTCCCCAAAGCATGCGGCTGTGAACAAACAGGGGCATCGTGCAGTGGGCCCCTCTGAGGCTCCCTGCCTGTGCGCCCTGGGCTCCTCGATCTGCACGCCTTGTCCCTACCCGTGCACATACACAGCTATGGCTGAACCCCCAGAGGCATACAGTATCTGCATAACCAATTTCAGCTCAGCAGGCAAGAAATATCTAGTTTCATTTTTCCAATCTTAAAATACACTATTGTCTAACACACTAGTTTGCACTAAAAGGCACTCTGGTTTATGGGTCAGAAATATATATTGGGACTTTAAAAGTTCATGAAAAATGGAATTTAAAAATGGGTGCAAAACAATTGGAAATATATGCAGTTTTTTCATAATATTCATCTTTCCCAAAATTGTGAAGACCCCACTTTTACATGAATTTCAAAGCTTAATTCCATTTTCCATGAATTTTAAAAATTTTAATTTATGTTTATGTGAAATGCAGAGAGACAAACAAAAGATCTTCCATCTACTAGTTCACTCCCCAGTTGAATGCACCAGCCAGGGCTGGGCCACATCGAACACGGGAGCCCAGAAACCAATCCAGGTTCCCCTGACCTCCCACCATGTAGGTGGCAGGTATGCAAGCACTGGAGCCATTATCTGCTGCCTCCCAGGGCATGCATTAGCAGGGAGCTGGAGTGATCACTGGTCCTTAAACCTCACGCTCCAGTATGGGATGTAGGCATCTCAAGTGGTGTCTTAGTCACTGCATCAAAAACCTGGCTCACCTTTTAGGAGCTTTTTTGAAATGTTCTTGTACATGTTCTTGTCACAATGCTAAGATTCAGTTCTTGGCAGTTTGCCTACCTGGTTGTAGAGTCCTTACCCTATGACTGTGTTTCCCTGTGCAGAACATGGAGATGATGGTACCCACCCCACAGAATTCTGGGATGGATAACTAAAGCCATGCATACCGAGGGCTTAGCACAAGGGCTGGCACACAGCAAGAGCATGACAATGGGAGAGTCTGGAAGGGTACCCTGGGTTTGCATGTCCCACCTCCACTCAACAAGAATCGCTGGGCCCCACGTTGCCCTGTGAGGAACCAACCCCCAAGCCTCTCCCTGGTAAGCAAGAAGCACAGAACTTTGGTGGCCCGGTTAGAAACAATCTCTAGAGGCTATTGCAGTGACATAGCAAGCTAATCCTCTGTGGCATCCCCTATAGGCACTGGTTTATGTCCTGGCTGTTCCACTTCAACTCCAGCTCTTGGCTAATGGCCTGGGAAAGCAACAAGGCCTTGGGCTCCTGTCACCATGTGGGAGACCCAGAAGAAGTTCTTGGCGCCTTGGCCTGGCACGGTAATCTGCTGGCTAAAGACCCTGACTTGAATGCACCAGTATCTCAAATGGGCCCCGGTTCTAATCCTGGCGATCCTGCTTCCCATCCAGCTCCATTTGTGGCCTGGGAAAGAAGGGGAGGGCGGCCCAAAGCCTTGGGACCCTGCACCCGCCTGGGAGACCTGGAAGAGGCTCTTGGCTCCTGGCTTAGGATCGGCTCAGCTCCAGCCATTGCAGCCACTTGGGGAGTGAATCAGCGGATGAAAGATCTTTTTGTCTGTCTTTCCTCTTCTCTGTCTATCTGACTTTCCAATAAAGTAAATAAATAAGTATTAAAAAAAAAAAAAACAGAAGCCCCCAGCTTCAGACTAATCCAGCCCTGGCAGTTGCAGCCATTTAGGGATTAAACAGCAGAGAAAACATCTCTCTGCTTCTCCATTTCTGTCTGTGCCTTTCAAGTAAAACAAATAAATCTCTCTTCTTAAAATGTACTTTTTTGAAAGAAAAACAAACATTCTCTGGCCCCGACCCTAGAGTCCTGCTGGGCAGGTGGCAGGCTTTCACCGTGAGCCACCAGTGGCCCTTCACTGGGAGGCCTCTGGCTTTTGTCTCAGGAGTCTAGGACCTGGGGTCTTTGTGGACACAGGGGCCAGGTCTGGGTGGTGCATACCAGGCAGATGCAGCTGAGGCAGGGGTCCAGCACTGATGGGAAGGTCTCATTGTTGTAGAAGATTCTTCCTGTGTAGGTGCAGCCTGCCAGAAAGAGTCTGTGGTGAGCACCTGGCAGAGGGAGAGCCCTGACCCAGCCTTCAGCCTGGACAGAAGTTGGAGGCTTCTCTGGGTAAACAAGGTCAGCCCTGCGCCTCCCCATCAAGACAGTCACCTGTGGAAGTGGCCAAGTGACAGTGCTGTGAGCTGCAGGCTGACTGGTTTCACACTGGGTTCAGCCAAGCGACCCCAGTGTCATGGCCTGCAGGGTCCCTGCCACACAAAGAAGTCTCCTGTCCCTCGGCCCTCCCCAGGCAGGATCCGTACAAGGACTGGCAGGTGCCAAGTGCCAGGAGCCAGAAACACAAGGCCTTTGCTGCTCCCTACTCAAACAGCCTCCAAATCGACCCACCCAGAGCGTGGCCCACACAGCCCCTTCTCTGATTCCTAATGCTGTGAGAGACCTGACTTGAATGAAGCTGGGTTGCTAGTATCTACCACATACCAGCAAGCATGAAAACAGGCAGTGGAACAGACTTTGTAAGAACCAAATACAGACCATGAGCATCTATAAATGTCACAGAAAGAAGCAAGAAAACCACCAGGCTCCCCCTGCTGCTTCACAGGTGTCTGTGCATCACCTAGGCCATCACTGCCCGTGCATTGCCTTGCCTTGGGTAAAACTTACCTCTCCGAACCTCAGTTTCCTCATCTATAAAATGGGGTCATGGTAAGATGGTGCTTACACAGAGCAGCCTGGATGCTCAGACTCCACCCCAGGAATCCTGTCTAGGAATCAGGGGCCGGGCCCAGGATTACCTGCTGAACAGTCTGGACAACACTGTCCGGGGATCTGGATCGGGTGAGGGCAGGAGTCCACACAGTCTGTCCTCTTGCACTTCACCGACCCATCTGCCTGCAGGAAGAGGAACTTGACAAGCTCCAACCTGAGGCACCCGTCCCCCACAGGAGAGCCCCACACAGGTCCTTCCCCAAAGACCAGTAGCTACTTGTGCCCCTTCTAGAAAGGTCTCCTGTGTAAGGGGAAGGAAGGTAGGGGCTGAGGCTCGGTCTCCTCAGCTTCCTGTTCCTCTGTGTAGCAGCCAAAGCCCACATCATCCAAATCCTTCTCTCAGCTTTTCCCTAGACACCCTGGCTCACCCTATACCCATGGAGCACAACCAAATCCAGCAGAAATGTCTATTTCAAAAGACCAAAGTGCAATACAACGTTCCTTTTAAAGCTAATAATCATCTGAATGTTTCTGACTCTTTTGTATGATTTTCTTGTAATTCAGATCAGTGCCTGAACTGAACTATAAAGGAGAAGCCAGTACCAGAAGGGCCCGGCCTGCTAATTCCCACTCCAAAGCAAAGCCCTCAACCTCGTGAGAGCCTGAGGCTTTTTAACAAACAGAACAACCAAAGTACCCAAAGGCCCTGCCTCTCACACTCTTCCACACGCAGGAACCTCCTGGGGGCTTAAAAGGAAGGTCTGAGTCCAGACCATAGGCAGGGCCTCAGCAGGTGTCTAACGGGCTCACAGGTGACAGAGGCCACACCACTGACCTATGGCCTTTATTTTAGAAAACAAAACTCTCAGAGACTCAAAGCTCTTTTGAGACAGGCAAGTAGGCCAGCACGTGGATAAACAACTAGCTAAAACAAGCCCATCTCCTTATGAGCGGTGATGCCAGCATTCTGCACGCACCTTGTCCCACACCTGCTGTAATGCAAGCTCTCAAAGTTTGCATCCAGGAGACAAATGTTAGTTCACAGAAATAGCCTCAACAGCTGAGGCTGAGGGTACCCCAACCCCCTCAGCTGTCCAGGCCCCATGACACTCTCCTGCAAGGATTCCCAATGCTAACTCCTTAGGCCAGCAGCTCCTGGCACAACCGCACACAGTTCTGAAGTCAAGGCTGCTGGGTTTGGCTACCCTGAGCCACCTGCCAAGGACAGGTTACATTCAAGCCCCACCCTTTCTGTAAAGGTGAGTGGGCAGGGGAGACTGAAGTTTGTGTGGGATGGTCCAGGGGCTGGGACGAGCATCATCACTGAGAGCAGGCAGCCGGGTAAAGCAGCTGAAGGTGAGGTTGTCATTCACCTGGCAGATGCATAACTCACAGGGGTCACCAGGCGACCAGATCTGTCCAATCGGAAACTCAATCCCGTTGTCATCAAGAGAGCAGCCTGGCCAGGGGACAGTGAGGAGGGAAAGGCAGTGGGCAGATGTGCTTGCCAGACGTGCAATGCCACCCCACCACAGATGTGCCTGCACACAAACAGATATACCATTCACACACAAACTTACACATCTTCCTAAAGGCATACTTGCCCAAACATTCATACACAGATATAGCACACACCCACCTACACACCTGCTCACACAGAACCAAACCCATACAGCTGCACATGCTGAACATACACAAGTACATAACACATAGGGCCTCACCTGTGATGGGCCTGGGCTCCCGACAGGTGAAACAACACTGTCCAGGGCCCAGCCACCATTCTTCTCGGGGACAGGCAAGGTCTGGACAAGGCCTGAAGGAACATGCCACCTCCCCATTCTGGAAGAGAGCCAGAGACCAGGCCAGTGAAGCCAGTGCCCACTCCGGTGCCACATGAGGGCTGAAGCAGAGGCTATTGTACCCCACCACCCACCCCATCTGGCCTCAAATAAAAGTGGCATGTCTCCAGGCAGCAGGTGCAGGAGCAAAGGACACTAGGAGATGGTCTTAGGTCAGGTGTTGGGCCTGTGTCCTCTCATGCTGCCTCCTTTGGCCTCCACCATCTCAGATCCCTGCTCCTGCAATGGCTCCCGTCCAGGCTCCCAGCTGCTGCCCTCCACTCCGCTCTAGGGCTCTGCAGCCAGAGAACTTCCTCAAACCCCTATCCCAGTGCATGGCCCCACCACATAAAACCCTTCAACCTTCTCCGCCAGATCCAGAGCCCTGAGCTCAACCAGCACAGCCGCCACATCTGAGCAGAGGCAGAGGCTTAGTCCCACATATACAGGTCCCCTTCCCCTAAATCCTGCACTTGCTGGTGGCAGTCACCGTTCAAACACACTGACAGCTGCTGAAGCAGAAGAGCCCAGCTCCCCACCCAGTCCATTCTCTGGAGCTCCCAGGGACTTCCTCCCTGCCCTGTCCTGCTTGCTCACCGCCAGCCACAGCATCCTCAGCCTTCACCGGATCCATCCCACTTCATCCCTCAGCTCTGCACTTAGCATCCCACCCTCCAAAAAGACACGCAGGGCCCTGGTGACCTGGGGCAGATGGGCCTGAACCTGGGCCTGTCCTATGTTTGGCTGTGCCCTAGAGCAGATGCTCTGTTTACAGCACGGCTGAAGCACAGACATCAAGGAAGGCCTGAGTGCTGCCCCCTTCCCTACCACCCACCAAGCTAAGAGGTGTCAGGAGCTGCAGCTACTCTACCTGGCAGACACAGGTGGTGCACTCATCAGCACCCCCGCTGAACACGGCTCCATCTGCGTACCACTGGCCATGGAAGTAGCATCTCCCTACAGAAGAGAGAGGAACAAGTGGCTCCAGGTCTTGGGCCTGAGACAACTGAAGAAAAAAAGGGGACAGGGGAGGGCAGGGACTCTGGGACTCATATACACCCATAGCCCTGCCCAGCACCTTCCACACCCAGGAACCCAAAGTACCCCTCACCCTCAAAAGCCCAGATGTAAAACAAGTTGAGGACTAAACATTGATAAAGAAGGAGTCGCATGCAAAAACAATGTCTTCTAGAAAGGCAAAGGAAACCCTAAATAACCAGAGAAAAAGAGGCCCCAGGGTGGGTATTGTGGCATCACAGGTTAAGCCAACCACTTGGGATACCTACATCCCGTATCAGAGTGCCAGGTTCGAGCCCCAGATGCTCCACTTACAATCTAGTTCTGTGCTAATGAGCTTGGGAAAGCATCAGAAGATAGCACAAGTAGTTGGGCCCCTGCCACCCAGTGGGAGACCCAAATGGTGTTCCAGACTCCTGGTGTTGGCCCAGACCAGCCCTAGCCACTGCATTCATTGGGAGAATGAACCAGAAGATGGAATATCTGTCTCCCCCTGCCTCTCCCTCTCTGAAACTCTACCTTTCAAATAAACAAGCATGTCTTAGGGGTCAGGGGAGGACAGTGCCTCAAATGCTCAGGATATAGATCTGGGTTTCATGGTCCCTGCCAGAGTCTTAAGGATTCACTGAGAGCCTCAGATCCAAGGAACCCCTCTAAGACACATCTCAGGTCCACTCAGCTTTGCTCAGACTGTCCCAAGTTCAAATCCCAGCTCCATCTCCACAAATCATTGGAGAATGACGCAGGGTAAGATGACTAACTGTCTCTTTGTGTGTACTGGGGAAGATCCTTGCTGTGCCTCAGTTTCCTCATCTATAAAATAGTGTAGCGAGTAGTTTTACACCCTCACACGGCCACACAAGGAGGCTTTAACAGGAGCTGGTCAGTGCCCTACACAGCAAGGATCTCTGAAGGCAGGAAACATCCATGATGATGCTGAGGTCACCTCAGGAAGAGAACAGTGTTCTCAACAAAGACCAGCTCCCCCATGGGCAAGGGGAGACCCAAACCACGTCTAGAGAAAAGCAATGCCAAGGGCAGACACAGAACCCTTCCTGCCTGCATGAAGGCACTGCCTGGGCGGGGGCAGGCAGGGCCAGGTGGGGCTGGGAGCAGGGTCTAGCATGCATACCACTGTGCAGCAAGGGCTAAGCACAGCCACAAGGACCCATGTTTCTGAGGCCTTCACTGCCCCCTTGTCCTCCCCCACTTCACCCTACCCTAGCACAGCCCCAGAAGACACACTCTCCCCTGTACACCAACTAACTCAGTGTGGCAAGAATGTCACTCACCTGGGACACACGCACAGCAGTCTGACTGTGGGGAGGCCTGGCAGGGGCCGGGAGGACACTCGGGGGAGATGCAGGTCACGTTTCCAGCCTGAGGAGAGGGTGAGGGATGGCAGAAGCATAGGGGTAGGAGAGGGAACACCTAGCAGCTCACTCCCTAAAGGGCACCTCACCTTCCCAGCACCACAACTACCTGGCAGAAGCGTGTGGCCCTTCCTGTGCCACTGCAGCCCAAACTGCTGGATCTCCACAGGGTTTCAATGGGTCTCCCCACAAAGGCTTGGACCCCATGGTAGTGGTACTGGGAGTTTGTGGATCCTTTAAGAGGTCCTTGGGTCACTGGGGTACTGCCCTGGAGAGTGTTGTTGGGGGAGACCCCAGTCTCTCTGACTTCCTGTCGGGTGACATGAGCTCTTCTTCCCACAGGGTTCCACTGCCATCAGCCATAAGGTGATGTAACAAGGAGGACCCTCACTAGAGCCTGTGCCAAACTGTTTCAGCTTTTGACCTCCAAACTGGAAGGTTAAGTGCACCTCTTTTCTTTGTGAAGCTAATATGCTTTGGGTAAGTGGTTTTAATAACAAAAAAGTCCACAATTTTATTTACTTATTTTCATTTTATTTGAGAGATCTTCCCTCCTTTGGTTCACTCCCCCAAACAGAAAATATCAGTGAATAGAAGATCTCTCTCTCTCTCTCTCTCTCTCTCTCTCTCTCTCTCTCTCTCTCTCTCTCTCTCTGTATCAGGAGTAAACCAGAGAATTAGAAGATGGAAAATCTCATCTCTCTCCCTCTCTTTTTCTTTCTGGGGAGTAAATCAATGAATGGAAGATCTGTGTGTGTTTAACTCAAATTTTAAAAAATAAAATTTATAAATTAAAAAAGGAAAGAAAATAGATAAAAAGCACCAGCCATGTACCAGGCAACAGTGGGTGCTCGATCACACATGCATACAACAGCAGCTGGTACACAACGGGTGCTGGACAGCATCCTTCGAGGAGGGGATTTGGGGATGAGCCATCTCTAGCCCACGTGAGGATGCCTGGATCACGCTGACAACTCCCCTTGAAAACCCAGATACCATTTGTTTGTCTGTCGGGCAACAAACTCTCTGACTACCTCAGCTCAAATTTGTCCACACTCTTCCCGTCCCTGTCCGCCCACCTGTTAAATTCTGCAGGCTCCTAGCAAAAGCCACAATCTAAGCATCTTTCCTTGCACTCAACACCCAGGCTTGTCCCCTTCCTTCAAAACGCCCATAGGTTAAGAAAACATCCACAAGACTCAGGAGAGTCTTGCCTGAGAACACTCACCAGGCAGACACAGACAGTGCAGTTCTCGTTGGGAGGCGAGAAGACATCCCCTTCAGCACGGATGACACCATGGTGAAAGCAGCCTTGGAAAGCAAACAGCAAATGCAGGCATCGGAGGAAGAAGAAACCAGTGGTCTCTACTTCTCCAGGTACCAGGGAGACCTCTTTTTGCCCTGGATGTCCCAGCAGAGGTAGACCAAGAGCCCCAAACTGAATGAAGTGACCAGGAGACATCTGCAAGGGTCAGGCGTGGAGAGACCCAGGAGGGTCTCTCCAGGTGTGACAAACCCACAGCCGTCCCATGGATGGCACAGCATTTTATTCCTGCCAGGCAAGAAATGTAGCCAGACAGCCCTGAGTGGGAAACCAGACCCTGGCCTGCCAGCTCAGTACACTGAGCAACCGTGGTCGCTCGGACACTTGGCTTCTTTGGGACTCAGCTGTTTCCACTGTAAGACTGAGGTCCCAGCAGGCAACTTGGAAGGGTCTGCAGCCCCAGATACAAAGTACCCCAGATTCTGCACACATGGCTCAACTCAGGAACATGGCCAAGAGTCTAATCACCATTAAGGAAAAATAGAAGGGGTGGACACTTGGTGAAGAGGCTGACACTGCTTGGGACACCCATATTCCATATCAAAGGACCTGGGTATGAGTCTTGGATCCACTTCAGTTCCAGCTTCCTGCTACTGCACACCTGGAAGGGAGCAAGTGATGCTCAAGCAGCTGGATCTCTGCCACCCACATGAGAGACTCCAGTAGAGTTCCTGGTCTCTACCTTTGGTCTTGCCCAGCTCTGGTTGTTATTGCATTTGGGGAGTAAGTCACAGATGAGAAGATAACTCTCCGTCCACCTGTCTCCCTCTCTCTCTCTCTGTTTTCCTGCCTTTCAAATAAATAAATGTCTTCTTAAATGAGCATCTGGGTAATGCTAAGGTGTGTGATGGCTAAAGAGCCTTTTGCCTGCAGAGGGCTGAGAAGGGAAGAGGCCAGCTCTCACCTGTGCACAGCGGGCAGCAGCCCCCATCTCTGGGAGGGATCGGGTGGGAACAAGCAGCTTCACATCTCACCTTGCTACAGGTCACCTCCCCATCCTAAAAGCACAGGCAAGAGTCTCAGCCATGGCCAGGCCTCACTCCCCAGGACAGGGCAGCCTCAGGGACCCCTAACACTCACCTGGCACCTGCACTGGGAACATCTGGCCTCTGTCCAGTGGCTTCCTGATTCATACACAACTCCCAGGTGCCAGCAGGGAGGGCGCCCTGCTGCCAGGCTTGAGGCCTCTGGGCCCCTGGGGGAAGGCAAGGTCCCCACTGCCTCCCCCTGGAGGAAAGAGGGAGGTCTAAGGGATCCCAACAGGGAGGCACTTGGCACTGGGGTGGCAGTTGGGGTGACAAACAGCCTTGGAGGGGCGGAAGAGGAGGACACAGGGGTGGAAGATGCTGCTGGGCGGGTTGTCCTGCCTCCAGCAGCAAGATACCCTGGAGCCCCTGGAGGAGGGCTGTGTCCAGGGGGCAGGACAGGCCGGCCTGCCTCTGGAAGCAACAGGAGCATCTTGGCTGGGTGCTGGCGGGGCTGCATGATTGCAGACGGGGCGAGCACGGCTTTCGGGAAAGCTGAAAAGAAAGCACAGGGTCCTCTGAGGCAGGCCAAGGGGCAAGAAGCAGCTTCTCTCTCATCACTGCTCCCAGCACCGCTCTGGGTGCTCCTTCATCTGAACAACGGGGAGGTGGCCAGCTCTGACAGGATGGGGAAGGGACGAGCTCTGACAGGATGGGAGATGACCAGCTGTGACAGGATCAGGAGGTAGCCAGTTCTGACAGGATCAGAAGGTGGCCAGCTGTGACAAGAAGGGGAGATGACCAGCTGTGACAGGAAGAGGAGGTGACCAGCTGTGACAGAAAGTATAGGTGACCAGCTGTGTCAGGAAGGGGAGATGACCAGCTGTGTTAGGAAGGGGAGATGACCAGCTGTGTTAGGAAGGGGAGATGACCAGCTGTGTCAGGAAGGGGAGATGACCAGCTGTGTTAGGAAGGGGAGGTGACCAGCTGTGACACTCACAGGAACAAGAGGGAATAACAGGGGAAGATGGCTGCTGCCGCCAGCCTGGCCTTTCTCCCCAGCCACACAAGCTCCACACACGTACAAGACCACAGTTCCCACGCTTCTTTGGAACACACAGACTTCATTGGATTCATCTGGGAATGGCCCAGACCCGGCCCCCTGCTCCCCTGCCAGCTGTGGCTACAGTTGAAGGACCAGCCCAGGGTCCTGTCAAAGCCCCATGAACTGCCATTACCTAAGGTTGTGAAAGACAAAATCAGAAAATCTAAGAGGGGAGGACAAGAGGCAGACAGAGCAGGAGCGAAGAATGAGGAAACGAGGGAAACTCAGAACCCAGAGAAGATGTGAGCAAGCACGGCTGGGGCAAGGAGGGCACACAGGACCCGGTGCACAGGTGGAAAGGCGCCACGATGGCGGGCAGGTACTCGCTGGAATCCTCCAGGATCCTCTGAGGATACAGCCACAGGGGCTGACAGTTCTCAGGGAGAACCGGGGAGGGCAAAATCCAACAGCCCAGGCTACAGATAAAGGGGACCCTTAAGTCACAGGCTTCTCTGTTGCCCATTTGCAGGAAACCACAGGGCTAGCAAAACGGGGAGAACAACTAGAAGCGGAAGGAGAAAGGGAGGAAGACAGTAGGCTATAGGAGAAAAGAAAGGTGAACAGGCCAGGGAGGAGGTCAAAGACCACGTGACGAAGGGAGCCAGCCAGGTGTGGCAGGGCAGGGTCTGGTGCCAGGGGTGGGGCCAGAGACCGCAAGGCTGGGGCTTGGAACTCACCTTCACAGGACACGCGGTCAGCTCGCAGCCTGAAGCCAGGGCGGCAGGTGCACATGAAGCTGCCCACGGTGTTGTGGCAGGAGTGGTGACAAACTCGTCTTTCCAGCGGCTTTCGGCACTCGTTGATATCTGTGCGGGAGCTTTGTTGGGGACATCTGCCCTGTCTGGGCTACCTCCCAGCCCTTACCCAAAAGCCTCCAAGTTCCCATATGGCACATTCGTGTACCAGGGTGCCGGTGTGACCCAGTGGCTGGGAGCAGGGTTGAGGCCAGTACTAATCTCTCTGAACACATCTGTCAGGTGTATAATGGATACGTCCTGACAAGGGTGGCTGCCTGGGAGGAACTTCCCACCAAAACCTTCCAAACCTTCCACTATCCTGTTTTCCTTTCCAAAAATAGTTTCAGAACTTATTGTGTGGAGCCAGCCTTGAGATACAGGAGTGTGGTGTGGGGAAGGGGATGGGCCGCCACGTGTGAAGTCGGCATCCCATATCCAAGTGTAGGTCTGAGTCCTGGCTGCTCTACCTGTGACGCAGTTCTCTGCTAATGTGCAGCCTAGGGGTGGACCGAGTGCATGGGTCCCTGCCACCCATATGGGGGACCAGGATGGAGCTTCTGAAGCTTCAGCCCAGCCCAGCCCAGCACCAGCTGGTGAGGATATTCAGAGAGAGAACCAGCAAACGGAGGCACTCTCTCCTCTCTCTGTCTGGATGCTCTGCCTTTCAAAGAAATACATATCAAAAATGGAAACATATATATCTAATTCCTTGAGCTATTTAAGGTAGGCTTGAGAGCAAAAATCAGACTCCACTAGAACAAGGCCTTTTTCAGGCCCATGGGACCCCACCTTCAACCCATGAGCCAAACTCAAGCCAAACAGGCTAATCCCTTTCTGGAAATTTCTGCTAATGGGCAGAGCAAACAGAGATCTCCTTCTAAACTAGAGAGCAGCAAGACATAACGTGCTTTATTTACCAAGGGGGCAGCCAAGAAAATGGATGAGCAGAGAGGACTCCCTGGGGAGTAGCTGGAAGCCGAGGAGTGGAAGAGGAACAAACAGGAAGAACATGGCTCATGGCCAGGGAAGGTCCACGATGAAGTCAACCCTGGGAACAGCCAGGCTGTGAGCCAATGTTCAAAGCCCCTCGGGCTGCAGAGCGCCAGGAGGCCCAGCCGTCGTCTGTCCAGGTCCCTGGGTCTACCCTGCCCATCGTCCTGGCCCAGCGTGGCTGCAGCCTTACCCACACACGAGTGCCGGTTGCCGTGCAGGTGGAAGCCAGGACGGCAGGAACACCTGTAGCTGCCGATGCTGTTTTTGCACCTCTGCTGGCAGGGTGTCCGCAAGCATTCGTCAGTGTCTGGAAGGGAAGTGAGCAAGGCTGGCGGAGTCTTGGATGCCCAGGACCTCTTCCTCCCTGACGAGACAGCTTCTACCCGGCGGGGGCCCTTGGAGGGGAGGGGCAGGCACCCTGACTCCTTCCTCCAGTGCACCAGCTCCCTGGACTTGCCTCAAAGCTGCATCTGCCTCTTCATCGCTAGACCTGAACACAGCAACAGCCTCCTGCAGGTCCGCTCCTGTGTCTGTGTCACACCCCACTCTAGCCTCCAGGTTGCCCTGAGCAGGCCACTACCTACTTGAAATCTCTTTAGGGGCCTCATTCTAAATGAAGGCACCAAGGCTCACAGAACCTTTCGACACAGCACTGGACCGCCTTTCCCTTCTCCCGGCCTGCATCTCACCTTCATTCTGACTGCACCACGCCTGTTCAGGTCTCGCAAACACTGAGTTTCTCAGCAGTGCATGGATCAACTCCCTTCTTGATCAACTGGAAAACTTCTACTTACAGCTCAAAGGTCAGCCAGCAGAGCACTTGTCTGTCAGAGCTGCCCCATGCTGTCATTGTTTTTAAGGTCTATTTTAATTTTTATTTGAAAGGCAGAGATACAGAGAAAAAAACAGAGAGGGAGAGATCTTCTACCTGCTGGTTCACTCCCCAAATGGCCACAACTGCTGAGCTTCCCCCTGGTCTCCACAACGGGTGCAGGGTCCCAACGCTTTGCGCCATCCTCCACTGCTTTCAAAGGCCATTAGCAGGGAGCAGGATTTGAAGTGGAGCAGGCAGGACTTAAACCAGCACTCATATGGGATACCAGTGCCACAAGCAGAGGTTTAGCCTTTTATGCCACAGTGTTGGTCCCAACCCCATGCTATCATCTGAAATAATCTCCATGTTTGTGAATAAGAAACAGCTGATAAACTATTGGATAACTGCACTGTAAAAGTACCAAGCAGCAAGGGTTAAAATGAACAGGCAGATCTACTTATCCTGATGTGAAAAGATCTTCAAGGCCAACTAGTGGGGAGAAGGAAAAAAAAAAAGGGCAGATAGGCTGGTGTGGTGATCCAGCAGGTGCTTGCATTTCATATTAGCAGGTTCAAGCCCTGGCTCCTCCCCTTCCAATCCGGCTCCCTATAATGTACCTGAGAACGCAGCAGAAGATGGCCCAAGTGCCTGAGTCGCTGTCAGTCATGTGCAAAACCTGGATGGAGTTCCTGGCTCCTGGCTGAAGCCTGGCCTGGTCAAGTCATTGTGGCCATTTGGAGAATGAACCAACAAATAGAAAATTTCTTTCTTTCTCTGTATTTCTCTCTGTGTCCCTCTCTCTGTACTTCTGTCTTTTCAAATAAAAATCAATGTTTTGTTTTTAAAGTAGAAGAACAACTGGGTTCAAATTCTAGGCAACCTGCCTCATTTCTTCATGCCTCAATATTGCTGTCAGTTAAATGGGATTGGAGACTGCAGTGATGTTGCAGCTCAGTGTACCCGCAGACACGTGCATGGAAATGAGCAGGGAGAGCTAGTCACGGACTGATAACCAGGTACCATGGCCTGACTTACACAATGCATGTGGATGCCCTACCCTCAGTGTGATGGTATTTGGGGGTCGCGCCTTTGGAGATGATTAGGGTTCCATGAGGTCATGGTGGCGGGGAGAAGGGTCCCAGGAAGGCATGTGTGCCCTTATGTGAACAAACTCCAGAGTCTAGTGGCTAAGCTGCCGACTGGTACACCCCCGTCCCATATTGTGTCCTGGCTTTCCTCCTGAAGCCAGCTTCCTGCTAACGTACAGCCCAAGAGGCAGCAGGTAGCTCAACTACTGAAGTCCCTGACATTCATGTGGGAGACCCGGATGAAGCTTCAGATTCCTGGCCCAACCCTGGCTAGTTCTAGATACTTGGAGAGATTCTCTTTCTCTCTTTCAAATGCTAAAAACTAAGTGGCACTTCAAAAAAAAAGAAGCAGCAGCTGGACCAGTGTTGTGGCACGGCAGGTAAAGCCATCACCTATGATGCCAGTATCCCATATCAGTGTCAGTTCGTGTCCTGGCTATTCCACTTTCCCATCCAGCTGCCTGCTAATGGACTGGGAAAAGCAGTATCAGATGGGCCAAGTGTTTGGGCCCATGCCACACATACGGAAGATCCAGATGAAGCTCCTGGCTCTTGGCTTCAGTCTAGCTAAGACCTGGCTGTTTCAGCCATCTGGAGAGCGAACGAGCAGACAAAAGAACTCTCTCTCTCTCTCTCCCCTTCTCTCTCTCTCTCTCCATTCGTGTGTGTCTCTCCTCTCTCTGTAACTGCCTTTCAAATAAATAAATCTTTGGGGGGAAAAAAAAAAAGAAAAACAAAACCAAGAAGCAGCAGTTGTTCTAAGAGACCCTGCTCATTCCAGAGGAAAGATCCCTTCTCTTCCCTGGGTTCCCACAGTCCTGGGCCCCAGTCCTCTTGCCCTCACTTTACTTTCCCCCTTCCACAAGATCGGGAGGTGCCCCCAGAGGCGGCCAGCCAGGGCACAGGTAGAACCATGGGATGCAGAGAGTGAGTGAGCCCACGAGGGGTGCGGCATGTGCTCCCACCCCAGGTGCCTGCCGGCTGGCCCTCCCTCATCTAGGTGGGCTCCTGTGTAAGGTGAGCCCACCCTCCTGCCCCATGCTCTCCTTAAGGCCTCTTCTCCACCTGCCCTCCCCATGTCCCTGACCCGGGGAGACCAGCATACTCTGAGCCGTACTTGGCCAGACAGGCTGGGATTCAAACTCTGACTCCATCGCTTGCTCACAGATGGCCTGGGGCAAGCCTCTGTCTCCTCATCAGTAACATGGGGACCTCACATTCACAGTCTGCCTGGGGAGAACTTGGTGCTGGGACCCTTCCTCACGCACTCACCTTGGCAGCTGTGGCGGTCAGCAGATAGCTGCATACCTGGCCCACACTCGCACACAAAGCCTCCCTCGGTGTTCACGCAATGGCCCTCGCAGGCAGAGCTCAGGCATTCATCAATATCTGGGAAAAGAGCAAACACCCCTGTGTGGCCCCTGAGCAGGGAGGACAGCCATGCCCAGCACTGGGGATCCCTCACCTGCACCCCAGGAGGAAAAGAGCAGGCACTAGGGAAGTCATCCAGCTAGGATAAAAGCCCAGAAAGAAGGGGCAGAGGAAACCCGGGACCCAAGTCTTGACCCACACAGGTTAAGTGAAAAGAGAGGACAGCCTCAGGCCCAGCACCATAGCCTAGTGTCTAAAGTCCTCATCTTTCATGTGCCAGGATCCGATACAGGCGTTGGTTCGTATCCCAGCCATTCTACTTCCCTTCCAGCTCCCTGCCTGTGGTCTGGGAAAGCAGTCGAGGATGGCCCAAAGCCTTGGGACCCTGAACCCCCATGGGAAACCCTCCAGGTTCCTGGATTCAGATCAGCTCAGCTCTGGCCATTGTAAATCTGCGGATGAAAGATCTTTCTTTCTGTGTCTCTTCTCTGTGAATCTCACTTTCCCGTTAAAACAAATAGCTCTTTAAAAAAGAGAGACAGAAAGAGAGGACCACCCATCCTGCTCACAACCCTGCGGGGATGACAAAGCTGACTAAACCATCAACTGGGCCATCCCATGTTTCCTGAGCACCTATTCGAACAGGGCCCACTGAGGACACAAAGTGACACAAGGTCTTGCTGACTCGCTGATGGCCATTTGTATTTACCGTCTGTCAGCAGAGGAACCGGGGCGCAGCCCAGGAGGCCAGCGTGTGGCAGGGTGACCCACACCCCAGCAGGCAGTGCCCAGCCAGCATCAGGGAACCATGGGGGTGATCACAGGAGCCATAGGAGGACACCCACTGGAGAACAGGGCTCCTACCTAGATAACAGGAGCAAGGCTGGAGAGGGTAGGTTGGACAAGCCCAGGCTAGGGCCCCAAAGAAGTTCCCTGCCACCTCGGCCCACGGCAGGTGACCAAATTAAGCAACACTTTGGGAAGGTTGACTTAAGGCTAGGTGAGGGGGCTGGGAGACCAAATCCCCAAAACTGTGCTGCATGGAATCTTTTCCTTGCTTCAGAAACAAAGCAGCTCCAAAGAACTCATAAGGCCCGCTCTGCCCATGCCAGTCTGTACCTGGATCCCCCATGCCCCCATGCCCCCATGCCCAGGGCCACCTCCAATCTCCTCACCTCCTACTCAACCTTAATCTGGCATCCTCTTGCTCCTCCCATGGACACACCCATCAAGACTTGCCTGCTGCCTCTGAGAAGCCTGCGTCGATTAACCCTATCCCACTGGTGGTGGCTATAGCCAAGTGCCACCCTGCCCCGGGGTTCTATAACACCGTTCTTGGTGTTTTCTTCCCAGTTGACCTCTACAATGGCTGGGGCTGGGAGGGTCATGTGCAGAAAGCACTGGAGAAAGGCATGACCAGCAACCATCTCCTCTCCAGGCTACTCCGGGGAGACCTTTACCCCACAGTTCTCCCGCAGGGCCAGCAGGAAGCTGGACATGGCAGACAGCCTAACGAGGGATGGCAGGCAGCTGCGGGTTTCAAAGCTGTCACACGCAGAGGCGTTAAGATGCTGCTTAAGAGCCGTTAAGAGCAGGTTAAGATGCCGCTGGGGATGCCTGCTTTCCATCCTGGAGAGCCCGGCCTCAAGCCCCAGCTCTATCCGTGATAAAGTATCCTGGGATGCAGCGAGCAATGGCTCAGGTAGCTGGGAGGCTTTCCCCCATGTGGGAGATCTGTCCTCAGTTCAGCTCAGTCACACAGCTGTCACAGACGTGTAAGGAGTCAGTCAGTGACCTGGGGCTCCTTCCATGGCTGCCTCTGCCTCTCTGCCTTCTGGATAAAACATGAAACAAAAATCACGATACAGTGATATCGTCAGAAGTGGGAAAATAACAAAAAGTATAGAGAAGGCATGAGCCCAATTTTGCAACACACACACACACACACACATAGGAATGCCTACCATAATATACACAGGTGCACACATCAAAAAACCCACAAACACCCCCAGGAAACAGGGCAGAGAAAACATCTCCCTTTCTATTACAGTATCTCCAAGTGGGAACTTGCAAGAAGATGTTTATTTTCACTTTTTTTTTTCTCATTTTCCAAGTGTTCTAAAAAGAATTACTTTTGTTTCTGCCACTCAGTGGCAGAAAATCTTTTTAAAGGCTTTCATGGCTCCAGGAAAACCAGCAGGAAGTGGGTCCTGAGGGCGACCTCTGAGGACACTAACAGATTTTGCCCATAGGAACTTTTTAAAACCACAAATAAATAACACTTTCACAAAATGACCCAGCGTTTTGCTCCCAAAGAACTTTTCCAGGTTCCACATCTCTGAGCTCTGGACACCTTGCACTAGCCACTGTCGCCACGACACGGGTTCCTCCCTGTTCAGGTCCCTCCCCATATCCCGAAGCTCCCTCATGGCAAGGGCCACCACATGACCTTTGTGCAACCCCTCAGAGGTGATCGATTGATGCTTGGGAAATAACAGAGGGAAGCGAGTCAGTTGCTTTGTTGGCACGCCTCCCTGCCCACTCTCAGACATCACAGCACGGCTGCAGCTCCCTCCTGCTGAAAGAGGAGGAGACCTAAATTCCTGTCCTCCCCACCCCGACTGCTCCCAGGCCTCTCACCTGTACATCTGATGCCAACAGCTGTCTCCGTCATGAGGAAGCCCACGGGGCACACTCGGGCCACCTCCTGACAGCCGCCATGGTTACAGGTAAGGTCACAGCCGTACTCCCCACAGGGTCTGTGGGCTTCTGAAACATGAATAGCACAGTGAGCAAGTACCACACAACAGCGCACCAAGGCCTCACAGTGGGGGACTCGTCCTGACCCCTGTGGGGAGGTGGCAGGGCAGGGAAGGGGATGTCTCCAGAGGCAAACAGGCCTGAGTTGCAACCCAGCACCACCGCTTACTAGTGAGCAGTGCATCAGTTTCCTCACCTATAAAATGGGCAGGAAAATGCCTGCCTAATAGGGTTGCTGGAAGATGATGTGAGGGGACTCATCCCAAGTGCCTAGGACCTTGACCATAACTGCAGTGTTAATTTAGGTCTTCCCATCAGCTGCTGCGCATCCCTGGTTACCTGGGCAAGTGGCTCCTTGCTCTCCATCCTGGCAGGAGCAGACATTGGGAGCAATGCAGACGCCACTCCCACAGCCAAAGGAGCAGAGGGCTGAGAGGAGAAAGGCAGATGAGGAGCTGGGGCCACGAACCCCATTTCCCCTCTGAGCAGGCAGTGCACCCTGCTGCAGGAGAAGGCTGGGTATCTGGGGCACTTACGCAGGGTACAGTGCCCACCGCCCATGGAGGGCGCCCAGCCCGGGCAGCAGCCGCTCCCAAACCCCGACAGGCAGACGTGGGGGCCCAGTCGGCGTCTGCAAGAGAGGAGGGACTGGTGAACAGGCAAACCTCCCAGCTAGTCTGTAAGTCATCAATAAACAGCCGCAGGAGCAACAGAAAGTTCCAGTGTCTCCTGGAGGCTGAATGAAGACCAAAGTGTGAGAGAACAGATACAGGCATCCTACAGGTAGCGCCACATCAAGAGCCTCAGAGCTCAGGTAGGGCCCCACAGGGGATGAGGAGCCCCGAGGATGGCTGCCACGGGACCCTGGTGCTCGTGGTCCTCTATCATGGGTTCAGCTCACTTCTCCCCTACCCCAGGGCTTCTACCTCGCCTTGCTCCTCGCCATAGCATGGATTTCCTGAGGCGTCCAGTTACTGATTTGTTTGCTGTCTCGGGAGGACTTCCTGAGGGGAACCATTTGCCCAACCCAACACCTCTGCAGGGCCTGGCACATGGCAGGTGCAGCAGGCAGCTGCTGCAGGACAGGTTGAAATGGAAAGTCAACAGCAAAAGAGCACTGACAAGGGTGACATCTCTGGAGTTGGGGGTGATGCACTGGAGGCAAGAGAACCAAACCGTCCAAAAACAGAGTCCAGAACAGGCAGAAGCCAGGATGCCAAGCAAAGAACCAGGTGAAACAACATATTCTTATACAGTGGGAGGAACTAAGGAGCTCTGAGGAGGGTCAGGAAGACCAGCAGCTCGCCTAGGTGAGACAGTAGTGATGGAGGCCAGGAGAGCAGCACAGCCCTGGGTGCAGAGGTGGCAGAGATGACAGCTGGAGCCAGTTCCCAGGATAGGCCGGGTAGCAGTCTGGCCCAACAGCACAGGGACAAGAAAACGCTTCCCAGCCAGGTTCTCCCAGTGTTTGGAGGCTGACCAGAACCTCAGGGGGAGAGCCATGTACTTTACAGAGCACACACGGTGCTCCTTGTCCACACCAGACACTGGCAACATGAGACAAGACAGATTCACTCTGTTCTCAGGAGGAATAATCTATGCCAAAAGAGACAGGGACTTCAAGTAGTGACTCTGAGGGTACCAGGAAGGGAAGTCGGCAGAGAACTGTCCCTTGGGCCTCTCTGAATTCATTGCAAGAAACGGGGCCCTCCTGGGCCTCCCCCACCCGCTTGCTGGACATCAGACGGGGGAGGAAGGGAAAGGCAGGACATCCCCTGCTCTTCCACCAGAGCCAAACACTTGCTGAGGATACCCAAAAAAGGGACAGGCAGTGCCACCACAGTTGCAATGGTGGCATCACCGGTTCAGGTTGGCGGGGCCGAGAGCAGCCACAGCGCACAGAAGAGCTTCAGCGACTGTGAGACAGGTGGTTGGAGGCTGTGAAACGCACGAAGCCGGGTTGTGAGCAGGAATTAGGGGTGGCTGAGGAAATTCAGTTGCAAGTCCCCGCCGCGCACCCTCCGGAGGACGTAGCCAGGGACCAGCCATCCCGCTGACACGCAGAGAGCATCAAGCACACAGGCTCGCTGCCGCAGTGACCAGTGGGGGAAACACGTGGAGAGGGCAGCAGCAGTCGGGGAGGAAGACCTAGGGGCGCACGCCCCAGCCCCCACTCGCACGCGCCCAGGGCGGAATTGAGGCGTGACCCAAAGGGACCCCGGAGACTCCAAGGTCCACCGCGTACACAGAGCCAGGGCACGGGGCTAACCTCCACCCCCAAGCCACAGGGCATGTTGGAACTCGGAAGCCCGCGCGTCGGGAGACCAGGTGGCACGTCCCAAGTTCCTAGTCAGAGTCCTGTGCACCTAGACAATCTCTGGCTCGCCCAGCGCCGGATATCCCCCAGTCTGGCCCCGTCAGCTGCTGCCAGGGGTGCACAACCGACAGCTCTTGGGGTTCTTGTCGGAACCCCAAGAGCTGAACCCTGCGCCTGACCGCCAGCGGCTCCTCGGCTCTTCCCGGGGGGTGAGGGCCGGACAGAGGACCGGGGCGCTTACCTCTCCGTCGCGAAGTGGCCGGGTGGCTTTCTCCCAGTGTAGCTTCTGGCCATGGCCCCCAACAGCAGGAGCGCAACGCAGGCGGCCCGGAGAAGCAGTCCGGCCCACATAACCGGTAGCTTTGGGTCCCCGGCTCGCCTGGGCTCCCGCGCCGCACGGGGGAGGGGGCTGCCGGCCTTCGCCCCTCCTCCTGGCGCCGCGGGGAGCGAACCAGCGATCCCCGAGCTGGCACGCGGAGCTGCGAGAGGGGCTGGAAACGCTGAGAGGAGGGGCCGGGGGCCGAGGCGAAACGCTAGAAGAGGGGTCTTCCGCACCTAGGAGCAAAACACACAAAAGGCTACGCCACCCTAGTCTCTTCTGGAGGTTCGGAGCCCAGGGCAGGGGCAAAGATCATGGACCCCTGGGGCGGGGCTTCACCCTCGGCCCACAACCCCTGCGCTGGCTGCAGAGTAGGTTTCCTGCCAAGGGCTGAAGGCGTCAGATCGAGGCTTGGAAGCAAAGAAGCTGCAGAAATATGGCTAGCCTTGCGCCTGGGACCCCAGCGTTGTCATGCGGTGAGAAACGTGTAAATCTGAACCCAGGACCCTGGGTCGTTGCCGCTGGGCAGTTCTAGGCGGTTCCGGCAGATCCACACAAGGAGGAGCCAAGCACCAGCCCCAAAGCCACAGGCTTCCCTAGCCACCCGGGGCAGGTGGACCGCCCCCTTAACGCTGGTGGAGGAGGGAGATGAAGGAGCAGCTGGGGCGGAAGCTGAACTGAAAGGCCCAGGCTGCCCCAGGCCCTGGGCTGCAGGGGAATGGAGACAGGGATGTGCTGGAAGGTCATGTTCCTCCCGCTGGGAGAAAGCAGAAAACCCAGACCCAGTGGGGTCAAGCCTTTGCTCAAACATTTCCTGGAAGGAGAAACTCATTCCCTGTTAGAAAAAGCAGCCCAGGACAGTTCTAAGTGTCCACACTTCCTTAGAAACCGGCTACCTCCTGGGTGAACAATCCCTTCGGATCTGCTTCTGTGGTTGCCCTCCTGCTGACCACCTCAGCGTGGAGCCGAAGTCCTGGAAATTGCTCACCTGAGACCTTGCCTTCGTACTAACCTTTTCCTGAGGCAACCTGCATTCTGTGTTTTTGTTAGTTGTTTTTTCCATCCCAGGATGCAGTCTGAGGTTGTCCTTGGGATGCAGTTTGTTGTTCTTCAGCACCTGCTGCTAAGCCGTGTGTTTGCAGATGCTCACATTTGGTCCTTCATCTCAATTGGTGTAGTCGGCTGGCTCCCAGCGGAGTCTGTCTGGTGAGAGCAACTGCCTCATTCCGTGTGCTCTGGAGGACCCTTCCATTGTTTCTGCAAACATCCCCCTCTCTACAACCACTGATCTCATCATCCAGTAGCTGCTGCTGCTTCTGGCCCTTGCAGCTACTCACCAGTCCTGAACACACCGTCACAGGGTTGAAGTGTCCTTACCCTTCACGACTGTCCCACCGTCTGCCACACTCCAGCACACCTGAGCCATTCCCATCTCAGCTCCACTACTTTGGGTAGCCCCTCCACCTCACTCTGTAAAAATGTTTTCTGTGTGCTCCACGAGTGAATAGCCGGAAGAGTCGATACAACTTTGTGTGCTCCATGATCCACTCAGCCTGAGGAGTAAACCCCCCCTGTTGACTTTCCAGACGACATTCTCAACTGCACAAAGCTTCTTCAGCCGGCTGCCAGGACTTGCTCTCCTGTCAACAATCTGGCTTTTGTTTTCTTTCTCTTATCTCCTTGCTTGGCCTTGTCAGTTTAGGCTGTCTCTAAGCTAATATTGCTCACCCTCAGCTCCAGTAGGGCATATCCCTCACCAGCCACTGTGTGCTTGTGGCTTCTCACAAAAGAGACCCTCCACGGAGGGTGGAGGCTCCAAGCTGTTATTGGCTGCTCAGCTGTGGCCTCTGGCTTGTGACCCTTCCGTACAGCCATGTGATGAGTCAGTGTTTCTAATTCTCCCCAAGGTCTGTCCGTGCAGAGCCTGGAGTGCAGCTAGCTCAGCAGCGCCCACATGGAGCAGAGCTGGCCTGCTGGCCACAGCCAAGCTGACCTTTCACCCCAAGAGGTGACTAATGGTTCTAAAGCGGGGGTGGTGGCAGAGTGCAGCAGCTCCAAAGGGTTGCTGGGATTCTGTCCCAAATGATTACACCCAAGACCGTTGGAAACAGAAAACAGCAAAACACTGCAAGGACTCTACAACTCCCAAATTCCAGACTGAAGCCAGTCTGGAGAGAAACAACCTTTTACCCACTGCAGCGCGTCTGAGCTGTAGCTGGGGCAGAGGGGAGCAGGAGCCCACCACGCTCTCAAACCATGGCACATTAAGGCCACTCCTCTCACCTAGATTTAGTGTAAAAAACCATCACAACATGGGCGCTGCTGCTTGTCTACCTCACTACAGCTGGTCTCGGGCACCAGGGTGGGCCTTCTCCAAACTCTTAGCCGTGACTTTAAGAATGTAAATCAGTGTTGAATTTCAAGTTAAAAGGTGTATTTTTGAGATATTTTTCTTTCCACATTAGAAAAATAAAACATTGAGTTTCTTCAGGGAAAGAACCCCACTCCAGCAGACCCCAAAGCAGGAGGCTTTCTTGCCCTCTTCCTCTCAAAATCCCAGTTTGACCTTGAAACCCCAATTTTCCTGACAACCAAAGCTTGGCCTTAAACGGGCCAGCCAGTGTGTTTACGATCGACCCTACTTCAATCTTGGGACACAGCAGCCTTTATTGATGGCTGATAAAAATGTGGGTGTGCTGGTCCACTGAGAAAGATGACAGGCACTACTGCATGCAACAATGAACCCTGCTAGGGTTCTGTGGCTCAACAAGCTAATTCTCCACCTTTAAGTGCCAGCATCCCATACGTGTACCAGTTCAAATCCCAGCTACTCCACTTCTGACCCAGTTATGGCCTGGAAAAGCAGCAGAGGTTGACCCAAAGCCTTGGGTCCCTGCACCCGTGTGGGAGACCTGGAAGCTTTTGGCTCCTGCCTTGAAATACACAGCTCCGTTGTGGCTATTTGGAAGTGAGCCAGCAGACAGAAGTTCTGTCTCTCTACAAATCTGCTTTTCAAGTAAAAATAATCTTTAAGAAAAAAAAAAAGAGAGGTGGGGCCTGGAATGATGGCTCAGTGGCCAAATCCTCACCTTGCGAACCTAGGATCCCATATGGGTGCCAGTATGAGTCCCAGCTGCTCCACTTCCCCTCAAGCTCCCTGCTACTGTGCCTGGGAAAGCAACTAAAGATGGCCCAAGTGCTTGGGACCCTGTACCCATGTGGGAGACCCGGAAGGAGCTCCTGGCTCCTGGCTTTTGATGAACTCAGCTACAGCCGTTGTGGCCATTTGGAGGACAGACCAATGGATCAAGATCTTTGTCTCTTTTCTACAAATCTGATCTGCCTTTTCAATTAAAAAAAAAAAAATGAATTCCAATGTGCCCTCCTTCTGTCATTTTTAAAGATTTATTTATTGCTAGAAACTCAGATTTACAGACATTAGAACATACAGACACAGATCTTCCATCCACTGATTCACTCCCCAATCTGAAGCCAGGAGCCAGCAGCTTCTTCCAGGTCTCCCATGAAAAGTGTAAGCTCCCAAGGACTTAGAGGCCATCTTTAGCCACTTTCCCAGGCCACAAGCAGGGAGCTGGACAGGAAGTGTGGCAGCCAGGATATGAACCAGCACCCATTCTAGTGTATGCAAGGTGAGGACTTTGGCCATGAGGCTACTGTGCCAGACCCCCTGCTCCTGTCATTTTCATACAAAAGGGTCATTTGAGACCAAAGAAGATGAGACTCCAAAAGGCATGTGGCAATAGGAAGGTGGAAGGCACAGGAAGACCTAGCTGGTAGCTAGGGATCAGTGCTCGGCAGCTGGCTGTAAACAAGGACAGGAGTGCGGCAGGTCAGTACATTAGGCAACTGAAACCCAAACGGTGACTCTTAGGAGCAACTCGATGACCGAATTTCCACAACCTGAATCTGTCATCCTTGGGATCCTCCAGGAACAATGACATGAGAGACAGAGATGGCATTTTGCCTCAAAAGAAGCTGGTCTAACAGCAAGGACGAGGGACCAGCAGCTGCCCTCAAAGGGGAGGCACAGCTGAGGGATGCAGTCACCTGGGCAGGGTCCATGCAATAGGTGGGCAGAAGGGAAAAAGAACAGAAACATCTTTCATCTTAGACTCTACTTTATTTGGTAAAACTCAGAAACTAACAATCAATTCACAATCTGTCCTCCCCGACTTCCTTCTCTTTGAAGGAGGCAGCTCCAAGAAACAAAAGGGCCACAGCTTGGGGATCATCCATCATCCCCAGGTTTTAGTCAAGCAGTCCCCAGATGTGCTCAGGCTCCCAGACTCGAGGCTCTCAGAGGCAACAGAAAAAAACGAAAGGAGCTCTCACTTCAAAGACAATGAAGCCCTCCTCTCTTCCCACCCCTCCCCACCCTCAACCTCCCCACACCCATAACCCGAGTAAAAACACAGTAGAGGACAAGGCTGAGTGTGAAACACACATACATACACACAGCTTCCTTCCAGTAAGAACCACAAAATCCCTCCCTGGAAGGACAACTGGCACACCAATGGTGGCCCAAGGTGCTGACTGGAATCACGTGAGACTGGTAAAAATCCAGGGAGAGCATATTCCAAATTCAGCCATTCCCAGGTCTCTGTAATTGTCAGAAACCCATTTCCATACAGGTGAACTGCAGCTATGGAGTAGCTGGCTTAGGTATTAGCCTCCCATGGGGCAAGACGACAATGCTGACAGAGGGGGGAACAGGAAGGCAAAGCTTCTGGGGAGGTTCAGCAGAGGGGACCTCTGCCCATGGCTAATGGATCCGAGTTAGCTCCTCCACAACCTTGATCAGGTCATCGGCGGTAGCCTCTCGCTTCATGCCACTGCCATCATCGTACTGCAAGAGAAGAGAAGGCCTATGAGGGCGGGATGTCCACCAGCTGCTGAAACCCTCCCTTCACAGCCCCACTCCCGCCCTGGCGGCCAGGTCTCCCAGAAGGATCATCTTCAATAAACAATAAACCAAACTCTAATTCCCCCAAGGGTTGTCTGTGTCAGGCTGGACTCTGACCCTGCCTCCCACATTGTTAAAGGACAGGCTGTTGTGGACTTGGTGGTACCAGGAGCCTCATCCCTATCTTCCATCTTCCCGCAGCACCTTAGGTTTGAGCGGAGGTGCTCAGAGCTCCCATGTCTCCCAGCATGCCACAGCCAAGCTACAGTGGACTTGATGGGCATGGCCAAATACCACAAAGCTCACCTGTAGGTTTGCCACAACCTCCTGCATCTTGGGGCGACTAATATCCAAGAAACTCTCAATCAGGTCACCGTCGATAAAGCCTGTGGCTGGCTCTGTCTTGCGCTCAGTGTGAAAGGATCTCCAGGTAGACAGGCGAGTTAAGGACAATGCGCTTCTCTGGAAAACACCCTACCAGTCATGCCCATCCCAACACGAACACTGTCTAGTGATCAAGACTCCAAGAGGAAGTCACACTTTCAAGCACAAATCACAATGTTTTTTTGAACATTTTTGTAGCTGGAAAAACATAAATCCAATGGCTCTCAGTTGAGGTGATTTTCAAAATAATGTTTTGGGAGCAGGTGTTTAGCCTATCTATTAAGACGACACCAGGGAGAACACCTACATCTCACACCACAGTGCCTGGATGTGATACCCAGCCTCAGCTCCTGACCCAGCTTTCTGTAATGCACTGGGGCTGACACCAAATGATGACCCAAGTGCTTGGGTCCCCGCCACTGTGGGGTCTAGCTGGAGTTCTGGGTTCCTGGCTTTGGCTTGGCCCAACCCCAGCTATGCAGCCACCCATTTAGGAGATGAACCAAAAGACGGAAAATCTGTTTCAGTGCCTTTCAATACATTAATCCTTTTTTAAAAGGGGAAAAAAAAAAAGGCAAGGCACTTCCCTGCTGGGCACACTAGAGAAGCCAGCAGCGACTATGGCGGATCAGATGATGCCGAGTGCTAAGTACACAGGGATTCATATACTTCTCCTTTACTGTTTACGCTTGAGATTTCCCATATCACAGGTTTTTAAAAAACCCATAACCCCATAAGAACCCAGTCAAAACATTTTGGATAGCTGTTCCTAGAGGCATCCTAGGCTGACACAACTCTGCATGTGTGCTGGGTGTTTCCTGGCAGGGGCACAGCTCTGCAAGGATATAAGGAGTGTTCAATCTTGCCCACGCTCTTGATGACTTTATTCAGTCGATTCTGCATGTCCAGTAGCAGGTTGTACCAGCTCTCTGACAGTGAGGTCACCAGCCCTGAAGCAGCAAAGGCAGTGAGCTGCAAAGAGCCCTGGAGGCCACAGCAAGCATGCTCTGCCATGGCAGGGCAGGGAAGCCCCACCAAAGAACCAGCCTGCTGCCACTGCCTCCGCTACACTGCTCCCCCTCTTCCCTCCCAGCGGTCATCTAGGAGCAAGCCAGCAGGAGTTCACCCAGCGTGGGGTTAGCCTTACCAATCATGCCATTGACTGTGCCAAAAAGGACTGAGCCCTGGGTGGGAGTGGAAGTCTCGCCCAGGTTCTGCATGACCAGAGAGCCGTGGCAGAACACGTTGACAAACTCGCCCAGGTGGAACAGCCCGACCTCCTGAAGGTGCTGCCGCTCCTCATCAGTGGTGGCAGCACTGGAAGACAGTATGACAGGTCACGCCTGGTCTCTGCAAGGCCCCAACACACCACCCCAACAGAGAACACCTCCTGCTGAGCTTCCTGGGGAGTCTACACCCCCTAGCATGGGAGATTCATGCAGCCTCTGAGACTGTCATGCAGAACATCTGTGCCAGGCACAGAACCCAACGTTCTCATCCCCTGCGTAGCTCCCACCCCATCTCCACCGTTCCCACAGATGGCCACTCACCTATCCTTCTGACACACAAACAAGTTAAATGCATTCTCAGCTCCCAGGAAATTGTCATCATCCAAGATTTCTACCGCACTCATCCAGTTGGGATTAAAGTCTCGAGCAATCTTAGACAAGGTGTAACAAGAGAATATAATCAGCAGCAGACATATCCAGTTTCAGCACTTTTGTCCTTCAATCAGAAGTCAGGACTACAAGATGTAGTTCTGTGTTTAACAACTGTTCTCTGGGGCCAGAGTTGTGGTGTGGCAAATTAAGCCACTGCCTAATACCATATGGACGCAGGGTAGTATCCCAGCTGCTCTACTTCCAACCAGCTCCCTGCCAATTAATGGCCTGGGCAAACAGCAAAAGATGGCCCAAGTAGTTGGGCCCCTGGCACCCACACAGGAGACGCAGAAGAAGCTCCTGGCTCCTAACTTCAGCTTGGCCAAGCCTTGGCCATTGCAGCCACCTAGGGACTGAATCAGTGGACAGAAGACCTATCTGTAACTGCCTTTCAAATAAATAAGTCTTTAAAAAAAGTGACTGTCACCCTAGAACTTCCCTCTGGCCAACACAAGCCACTGGATGACAAGTACACGGAGATACAGAATCTCCTCAGCAGTTCAGATTGGGGATCTCCATCAATGCAGGCTCAGTGCCAACTGTGCGCTCCAGGGAAAATGTGCTTAGGCCAGACGCTCCCGCCATTACCTCTTCAAAGTTTCCCTCCATGGGCTTGTAGGCAAGCAGCAGCACTGAGCGCATGAGGTCGCCAACCAGGATGAAGTCGCCCTTGGTCTTCAGGTACAGAGCCATGATGTTGTTGTAGTGGTTGCACTCAGTGCGCAGCTCCTTCTCGGTCGTCCATTCATACAGCCGCACCTGGAAAGACACCCTGTTCTCTCAGCCTGAGGCCCAAATGTTCTTGGAATGTCCACCCTAGGCCCCAGCCAGCCTCACTGCAGCACCACTTCCTGAAGGACAACAAGTAAAGGTGGTGGGGTCACGTTTTTATTTCACACATCTATGAAATATGAAAAGAGTGAACATATACTAAGAATACCCAGAAAATAAGACCACATCCCAATAAACTGCCTTTTTTTGAAACTTGGTCAAATCTCATGTTCCTGGCACCTTTAAAAGATGTGAACCCAAGAAGCAGATCAAAGTGAATGGAAAAGTTCAATAGAAATGCTATTCAATAACTGACCATGGAATTGCTTCCTCAGTCACAACCACATCTCCACAGGACAGAAGATGTCTATCTTCGCACAGCCCAGGACCAATGAAGGCAGACTACTTGTGAGTGTACAAGGCTTCCTGGAAGTTCCTACACATAACCATGGCCTTTGTATATCTATAAACTCCTGCGGAGTACATTAAGCATGATTTCTCAAGAACCCTAGCTCCACAAGTATACCAGAGTCCCATTTAGGGATAATTCTATCACATTTCCATGAAGAGAGTCAAGGACACTTCCCAAGGACCCTATCTTTAGGCAAGCTGCGCCCCCACATCTCTAGCAGCAAGCGTGAGAGCAGCTTCAGAGCTCTTATGTTCAACATCTTCTTTTCCTCACTTTCCACGCTCGCAGGCTTCCCAACACCACTAGTCAAGAGACCAAAGTCGGGGGAATAGGAGGATCAGGGGGATGGGAGGGTGAACACTCAAGGTCAAATACCTCCAAATGCCTAAAGATTCTCACTGTCTTCCCAAAAGAGTCTAGATCTCTACCATTTAAAGATTTATTTATTTTTATTGGAAAGGTTGATCAGATTTACAGAAAACAGAAAGACCTTCCACCTGCTGGTTCACTCCCCAAATGGCTGAACTGATAGAGCCCTACCATTCAATAGTGTATACTAGCTACGTGGCTATGAAACTTGAAATGTCCAAAACAAAATATGCTCTGAAGCATATTTTGAAGTCTTAGGAAAAAACAAACTCATTTTTATATTGATTACATATTGAAGTTATCTTTTTAGGAGTATTTTGCTCAATAAAATGCACTATTAACTACATTACCAAGGATGGTATAGGAATACACTGCCAGGCCCACCCCTTAAAGAGTCCCTTAAACTCCCAGCACAACCCATCACCCTTCTGCAATTTCTAATGCCTGTAACACTCACAGAATTCTGCCCAATATCCTGATCTTTTGCCTTTTCTACCCCCCATTCTTTCCACTTACCCTATCCTTTTTTAGGATCACCCATCAAAGCCTCACAAAAAAATGACCCTTGGACCCTCTGCAAAATTTTGAATCCTCAGTTCTACCTTCCCTTCATCCCTGCCTTCGAGTCTCCACACCCTGACCCCTATCCCTTTATCACCTCACAAAACCCAATAGCCAGTTTCTAATCTAATCAGCCACAAGTGAGGAAACAACCAGGATGACCAGTCTCATTTTAAACATGAGTCTACTAAGTGAAAGAAACCCTTCCATCTTCTAGTAAGTGCACATGTTCTTAGTCCACTCCATCCCTTCACTCTCCACAGACCCCAGAAACCACATCGTACAGCATCCCTTTCAGCTCCTCAAAGGCAACAACAGGCAGAGCTGCACATGTCTGCTGCTCTCTGTTCCCTCTCTGCCACACCAGACCAGTGCTGGGTGCCGGATCCCACCTCCCTCCTGCCTAAGAACACAGTGTCCTGGGATGCTTCATCAGCAGCAATGCCCAGCCTAACAAACACAAACTCCATCTAGTCCCTAACCCTTTTTTTTTTCCCTCCGTACAACTCCTCAAGGGATTTCTGTGCCAGGTGTCCTCCCTTCCTAGACTCAGCTGACCCCACTGCAACCAGTGGCCACCCCATCACCCAACTGAAGCAGCTCGGGTGATAGTCACCAACTTCCCTGTTGTTAAAACCAACACTTTAACCAATGCTTCTTGATTCTTTGCCACCTGAACTATCAGCACCACTTGCAGTTTACCAATTCTCTAATGCTTCAAATACTTTCTTCCCTTTTTAAATATTATTGATGTTTTCTTTTATTTGAAAACCAGAGAAAAATCTATTGGTTCCTTAATGAGGAGAGCCAGGATTGAACCAGAAGCCCAGAACTCAACCCAGGTCTCCCACATGGGTGGCAGACTCGATCATTTCGGCCATTTCTGCTGCTTCCAGGGTACATGTCAGCAAGAAGCTAGATTCAGGAACAAGGGGAAATGTGGACCCAGGTATTCTGATACACATGAGCTGCAGCCACCTGAAGCAGTAGCCTAACTGCTGCACAAATGCCTGCCTTCCACTTAAAACACTTTGCTCCACAGCTTGCAGATCACGGCTCCCTGGGTTCTTTCGCTACACTACCCAACTTGATGTTCCATTGTGCTTCAACTATGACCTGCTTGGTGGCCTCACAGCTGTCTCCAGATTTTGTCTCTGTCCCCTCCAGGGATGAGTCATTCCAGGTAAGTCCCCAACTTTTAGCTTTCAGACTAATAACCACCTTGCTGCTATCTCCAGCCTGTCTCTTTCCTGGACTCCAAACCTTTCATTCAGTTCCCAAACTGGAATCTCCACACTTATAACCACAGAAGCTATGTCCAAACCCCAAGCCCCAGGTTGCCTTCCCTCCTTTCCCTCCTCAGTCTTCCCCACGTCAATTAAGGGCCAGCTCCATCCTGCCCGTTGGCTCAGGCCAAAGCTTCTCTGCTTCTCACAGCTCATCTTTAATCCATCACCGCAGTACCTGGATCCTACCTATTTGGCAGAAAACACATACCCTTCATCCTCTCCTCCCACCAAGGCTCTGTTCCTTCACAGCATCTTCACGGACGGCCAATGAGAAAATGACAAAGCTTCTTAACTCAACTGGCCACTTCCACCCTTGGTCCCAACAGTCTTTCCAGAGAAGTAAAATACAAGTTCACAAAACACAAGTTCAATCATTCCAAAGCCCTTAGGCTAATGCTCCAGATACTTTCACTACCCTCGGGCTGTCACCCTTCCTTAGTCTACCAGGCCCCACGCTGTGGCTCCCGGCTGCCTCTCAGAAAGCTCTCCACTCCCTCCTGCAGGAACTCGGGGAGATGTCACCGAAACGGCAAGACCCTCCAACCCTCTGACATGAACAAGAACTCACCTCCCATGCTCACCTGGCAGTCTCCAGTCCCATACCCCTTTCATTTCTCACCATTTCATGCCCCAAATATTTACTGGGTTTGCCCAGAAGCCCCAGGAGCAGCTTGTGTCCATTTTGTTCACTATCAAATCTCAACTACCCAAACAGTGCTGGCCACACAGCAAGTGTTACCTCAGTTTATAAATGAACAAATGAACAGAAATCTTCAATTAATAACATTTAAGCAGTGGTGAGCACAGTGGCATAGCAAGCTAATCCTGCACTTTTGGTATCTGCATCTTATACAGACACCAATTCATGTACCAGCTGTTCCACTTCTGACCCAGGTCGCTACTAATAATGGTCCTGAGAAGCACTGGAAGATGGCCTAAGGCCTTGGGCCCCTTCACCTAAGTGGGAGAGCAGTAAGTTTCTGGCTCCTAGTTTCAAACCAACCCACCTTGGCCATGGTGGCCTTATTTAGCCAGTGAATCAGTGGATACAAGATCTCCCTCTGTTTATTCTTCTCTCTGTAATTCTAACTTTCAAGTAAAATAATTTTTTTTAAAAAAATTTAAGCAACAATTCTTTACTTTTAGCATCATAAATACGGTGTGATGTTCTAAGATGGGGGAGCCATGGTAAAGCATTTCCCAAAACTAACATGACTATAAAACTTAATCTCTTTCAAAACATCTAATTATGTAATACATCTTAAATTTCTAAAAAAAATCAATTATACCTCAATGAGGCTGAAAAAAATGTTTCTGCAAGGGAGTCAATGAAATCACAATAGAAACAGAACGAGTATTTCAGTGAGGCAGTTGGGATAATGTGAGCCAGCTCACATCACACAGGGCCATGCCTCTCAGCTTTGCTCACTCCTCATAGTGCACAAACTTACTGCGGGTCCACAGAACCCAGTCCAATGCCACAATCACTCTCAGCTCCCCAGATGCTGAGCTCAGAGCTCCAACCTCCACAGCCACTGCCCTGTCATCCTTAACATTAGATACACGCAGGTCCACAAAACACAAGGGAGATGTCATCCATGGACCACGTATGCAAGCCAAAGCAGAGTCTACCAAGGAGTGCAGGCCTCACCGTGCTGTTGATGCTGGCCAACAATTTGCCGTTAAATTCCACCATGGAGTACACAGCTCCTTTCACTTCCTTCTCAGCCACAGTCTGTAGTTTCCCTGGGGAAGGAAATATATTCTTGAATCTGTGACAGCCCATACTTCATTCTTTGCCTCTAACTTCTTCCCCTGAAAAGCCAGTAATGTGCAAGCAAGAAATGAGGAGTTAACCACCACCTAAAGCATAAGCCAAAATAATGAGCAATGATTCCAGGCAGTGTCCAAGATCTGCCTCTTGAGATGGAGACCAAATTCCATCTCAGCCATCTGATGTGTGATTTTTGGGCTGAGAACAAGTCTTTAAGACTTTCTTGAGTAGAGCAAGAAAGGATCTGGACAAACAAATCTCAAGTGCTGGGCCCAGCAGTGTGGCCCAGCAGCTAAAGTCCTCGCCTTAAATGCGCCGGGATCCCATATGGGCGCCAGTTCTAATCCCAGCAGCTCCACTTCCCATCCAGCTCCCTGCTTGTGGCCTGGGAAAGCACTCGAGGACGGTCCAATGCTTTGGGATCCTGCACCCGTGTGGGAGACCTGGAGGAAGTTCCTGGCTCCTGGCTTAAGATCAGCACATCATCAGCCATTGTGCTCACTTGGGGAGTGAATCATCGGATGAAAAGATCTTCTCCGTTTCTCCTCCTCTCTGTATATCTGACTTTGTAATAAAAAATATTTAAAAACAAACAAACAAATAAATAAATAAATCTCAAGTGTTAAAGTTGGAAGAGCACTGGGCCCGGCATGGTGGCCTAGCAGCTAAAGTCCTTGCCTTGAATGCGCCGGGATCCCATATGGGCGCCAGTTCTAATCCCGGCAGCTCCCCTTCCGATCCAGCTCCCTGCTTGTGGCCTGGGAAAGCCATGGAGGACGGCCCAATGCTTTGGGTTCCTGGTTCCCAGCTTCGGACAGGCGCAGTACCGATCATTGCACTCACTTGGGGAGTAAATCATCAGACGAAAGATCTTTCTCTCTGTCTCTCCTCCTCTTTGTATATCTGACTTTGTAATAAAAATAAATAAATCTTTAAAAAAAATTAATTTATAAAGTTGGAAGAGCACTGAAATGCCCAAACAGCCAAGGACAAAATCAATCTAAGATTCCCAAATCACTCTGCCCAGCAAATTTTTTAGCCATTCAACACTTCCCCTTTCAAAAAGCAGAAGGGAAACACAAGCTAGGTTTGACTTATTCTCTGCCAACATCCAACACCTTGAGAGAAAGGAACAGAATAGCTCTTCACAGCAACCAACCCAAGTTCTTCTGCTCATCCGAGGTTCTGAAACTGCCCACAGGTCTTACGTCCCCCAGTGGCTAGAGAAGCCCACTTACCATCCGAATACTGGAAGACCACAATGCGTCCTTGCTTAGGCTCTGCCTCTTCAGGGTATACCATGGCTGTGCCCACGATGAAATACGTGTTGGGGTCTTTGCCCAACTTGCAGGAGACCAGGCTTAGGGCATACTCATTCTGCAGAAACTGGTGGGCATGAAGCACTACACAGAGAACAATAAATCACAGGGCTGATGCCTCCCACACAACCCTCTACACACACAAACACACACCCCCCTATACTTGTGTCAGGCCTGTGGTTCAGTGACAGAACACATGCCACAAGCTGCCCCTGCCTCCTCAGATACTCCACTCCCCAACCAAGCTAAAAGAGGATGCCTAACCCTCCAGCCTCCTTCCTTCCTTCCTTTCTTCCTAGGGATGGTCTGTCATCCTGCTGTCAGATTTTGGAAATATATTACCCTAGTTTAGGGTGGGCATAGGTTAAAACAAAGAGATCAATCAGGCCCGGCGTGGCAGCCTAGCAGCTTAAAGTCCTCGACTACACAAGCCGGGATCCCATATGGCATCGGTTCTAATAGCAGCAGCTCCTCTCCCCATCCAGCTCCTTGCTTGTGGCCTGGGAAAGCAGGAGAGGATGGCTTGGGATCCTGCACCCGTGTGGGAGACCCGGAGGAGACTCCTGGCTTCGGATTGGCTCAGCACTGGCTGCTGTGGCTACTTGGGGAGTGAATCAGCAGACAGAGACCTTCCTCTCTGTCTCTTCTCCTCTCTGAATATCTGAATATTTTTTTCCAATAAAAATAAATATTTTTTAAAAAGAGAGAGATGAACCGCACCTTCAAAGGTATGCTGGTCAATAATCAGGAGGTTGTGCACCTCCACCTCTTCTCCGAAGGAGGTCTCATGTGGTGCCGTGCTGCTGGAGAACAGCTTGCTGGAGCTGATGCTGCTAGACAAGGCCTGAGAATAGAGAGCCACATCACCCACCTCGGAAGCACAGCAGGCCCTGGGAACTTCAGCAAGAGGTGCTAACACACCTGGGAAAGCCACAGAGGACAACCCCTGCACCCATGTGGAAGACCAGGCATAATTTCCAGGTTCCTTGCTTCAGTCTGACCCAACCACCAGATCAGTCTCTGTCCTTCTCTGTAATTCTGTTATTCAAATAAATCTCCGGGACAGGAGGGAAGGCTTCCCTTGAGTATTTGAAAGTAGCAAACATGATCAAAACAGTTACTATCTCCTTTGAGCTATGTATGGTTGTGTATTATCCTATTAGCCTCTTTTTATAGAGAAAATTGAAGTTACACTTGTCTACATAGCAAGTAACTCACAGCCAGTCCTATGAAACTCCAAATCCAAAGCTCTCACCCATATACCACACTGTCCCTATTACACATACTCTACAGAATACCCAAACTTGTGACGAGACAAAAGAAATTGTGTTGCACGGCCATCTAATAGCAGTCATTTTTTCTAAAGTTCTAGTGCAGCACAATAACGGCGATCTGTTCTCTTTGGTCTTTTTAACAAAAACAAGCAAAGTTGAGTAGTTGCCCCAAAACCATTTTAAGGGAAGAATTTTGAAACACCCGAAATTTACTAACAGGCCAGAGAATCAAGCAAAGGAAAATGGGATTATTTTACATTGAGAGCTTTAGGCTAAACTGACAACGGAAATGAAAAAAGCCCACTCCATTCCTCTGCCCTGTGCTGAAGAGCAGCCACCCTGTCTGCTCAACAGATCCAAGCCCCATCCCAGGACCCCAGCCCTCTGTCTGTGGACATTCAGTGTTCTCCAAGGCAGCTCCTTTCTAACTGCTGTCTGGCTATGATGCTGGTAGCTTAGGAGATTTGTCCCAGGACAGGTCCTTTCACTCCTGCCAGCATCTTTAACAGCTTAATAAACATTCTTAGTGTAGAGATTTCAAGCTTTGAAACTTTGACTTCCTAACAATATGGCCCATAAGCCAAAATCAGAACACGTCCCTCCTGCTCTGATGCCATCTTTCTGTGTCCACTGCCCTCACCTGAGTGCTGGCACTGGGCCTCAGGGCAGTGGTGCCCCCAGTGGCGTCTTGGACTTCAATGCGGCTGGAGAGTACCCCAAAGCACTGAGACACTTCCTGATAGCAGATCTTCCTGCAGGACAAGCATGGAACAGTGCCAATCAGAGGTGCCCTGTGCCAAAGCCCACGGGTCCACCCTCAGCAGCTTCCCTGGCCTGGCCCTTACCTGGGAGACTCGTAGAGTGGAACTGTGCGAATATGAAGTTTCTGGATCTCATCAATGGTGCCAATGGTGAGGGTGCTGTTGTTGGCCAGTGCCAGGCTGGAAAGAAGGGTCTGGGTTTAGATTGAGTATACCCAAGGAAAGAAAGGATTCTACAAGGAAACTCCACAGGGGGGAAAAAAACCAAAGCAGAATTACAACAGCACTCTGGGGCACTGGTTCTGAACCTTGAATCTATGCTAGAACTCACTTGGGGAGCTTTAAACAATTCTAACTGCTTAGAGGACCTGGGATGGATTCTTCACAGCTTTCCACTTAATAGTAACATGCAGCCTAGGCTAGCAATCTATCCAGCCTGGCGCAGTAGCCTAGCAGCTACCAAGTCTTCATCTTGCACAGGTCAGGATCCCAAATGGCTGCAAGTTCTAATCCCAGCAGCTCCACTTCCCATCCAGCTCCCTGCTTGTGGCCTGGGAAAGCAGTAAAGGACAGCCCAACGCCTTGGGATCCTGCACCCACGTGGGAGACCCGGAAGAGGCTCCTGGCTCCTAGCTTTGGATCAGTTCAGACCTGGCCGTTGCAGTCACTTGGAAAATGAATCATCGGATGAAAGATCTTCCTGTCTCTCCTCTCTACGACTTTCCAATAAAAAATAAATCTTTTTTAAAAAAATCAAGTATCACTGCCCAAGGACAGTGATTCTCACACTGCTGCAAGTGTAAGAATTAGTAAGGGGTTGTTAGACTGCGCCCCACTCCCAGGGCTCCTGATTCACTGGGCCCAGTCAGAGCTGGAGGATCTGCATATGCTCTTGCAGCAAAGAGCCACCCTTGGAAAACCACCCACCCACATACTGAACTTAAAATGTGGAGTCCTAAAACTTAAAAAATCATATGAATCAACTAAAAATCCAGATTCTGGAGCTGAACCTCAGGCCTATTGAATCAAAACTCCTTCCAGGTGTTCCTAACGGGCAGCCAGATTGGAGGGCAGCTGCTCTACATTTCCCATCTCAGACTCTAACATTGCAGGGGTTTGAGAAAAGCAACATGATACCCGCAATCAACAGCTCTTGCTAAATAAAGAAGACTCACCTGTCAGGATAGCCATCTGAGTTTAGGGGACACATGTAGTTCACTTCCTTTAGGTTGACATTGGAGAACACCAATTTATGGTTGCTGCTATAGATGACAGTGGGGCGATCAGAGCAAGCAAAGACGTTGGTGGTAGAAAGAGAACGGAAAGTCCTCAACACTGTGGGTTGGGTGCCCAAGGTCACCTTCTTGCGGTCACTCAACAAGCCTATAGAAGAATGGCATTAGAGAGAAGGAAAGAGGACAAGCAGCTCGATCATGAAGGTTCACAAGCAGCATTCTGAGACAAGGCTTCTAACACACAGCTGCTGAGAGAGCCCCTATTCAAAGTGGTATTTTCACCTGTCTCAATGTTGAGCCCGAAGTAGAAAAGTGCCCCATCTCCCAAGGCACAAAGGAGGTAGTGGCTACTCTCAAAGGTGGTCATCAGGATAGAGCGAGGGATGATCTCTGTGGGAAAGGGGTACATCAGTAAGTTATTGTCCACTCTAACTCTGAACCCAACCCACGTCCTTAGACACATACCTCCACCCAGCATCTCCTTGTGCAGTAATTCAAAAGTGGGCAGCTTCATGATGCGGGCAGAGATGTCTGTCCAGAGACCAATGGCACAGAGAGGGGAGAGCCCATTGCTATCCCCTAACGGGGTGATATCCAGGCAGGCCACTTCATGTTCCATCTCTGTGTGGCTGAATATGGCAAGAGGAAGGAAATCTAGCATCAAAGATGATCCACAAAACGGGGGAGAAACGCAGGCTAATATTTACACACCTGATCTGCAGCAGCTCCTTAGGGTGGATCTGCAGGTAGTAGAGGGACCTTCCGACAGCCACCACCACCTGGTTGCTGTTGCAGGAGGCCACACTGATGTTCTTGCCCTGAGGCTCCTTCCATTCACTCACCAGAGCTTTGGGCTCCTGTGAGACCAACCTCACAGATGCCGAAGTGATCTAGAGAAAAGAGCACATGTTTCCAAGCACCTGAATCAATGCTGCCCTGTGAGCCCTAAAGAAAACAAGGTACTTTTCTGCTGAACAGTTTTCCTCCAGGTTGATGCGGGGGCGGGGGGAAGGAGTCCTGGTATCTCGATCTCCACAGACGCCATAAACCATGGATGCTCAAGCCCTTTCTATACAAAGGTGTGGGATCTGCATATTACCTACACATAGTATCCCAAATACTTTAAAATCATGTCTAGATCAAAATAATATGCAATGCAATATAAATATTATTATACATTATTGTTTAGGGAACAGTGGCAATAAGGAAAATATCCATACAATGCACTATTTTTTTTTTTAATCTGTGGATAGGTAAATGAGCAGCTATGGAGCCTATAAAGGGTAAAACATGTGCCCATTTCTCCCCAAAGTCCTGGTAAAGATTAATTTTTAACAGGTGTCATTTTTACAAGAAGCTCTAAAACAGACTAGTTTAATGCAGTCTACAACCTGCACCCAGGGAAGGAAAAAAATTTATTTCATTTTTTTTTTAAGATTTTTTATTATTATTTTTTTAATTGGAAAGGCAGATATACAGAGAGGAAAGACAGAGAGGAAGATCTTCCGTCCGATGATTCACTCCCCAAGTGAGTGCAACGGCCGATACTATGCCAATCTGAACCCAGGAGACTTCCGGGTCTCCCACGCGGGTGCAGGGTCCCAAAGCCTTGGGCCATCCTCGACTGCCTTCCCGGGCCACAGGCAGGGAGCTGGAAGGGAAGGGAAGCGGGGCTGCCGGGATAGAACCAGCGCCCATATGGGATCCCGGGCGTGCAAGGCAAGGACCTTAACCACTTGCGCCACCGCGCCGGGCCCAATTTATTTCATTTTAACTGAAGAATGCTTTAGCAACACAAACCACATTCTGTGGGACACTGGCAATGGAGTAAGATCCTGTGACCACAAGTCACCAGTTGTTCCCAACTTCAAAACATTCTAAGCTATTAAAGTTCTTTCCTCAGATGAGCCATTAAAAATATCCCAAGTTCCTAGTAAGGACGATAAAACTGTATCGACAAGTTTTATAGACTGACCACTGAAATGCAACAAGAAGGAGGTTTACAGCAGTTACCTACATGTCTCATCTATCTTAGTAAATTTCAGGATGCAGCTTTCACACTAGATAGTCTGAAGACCAGCACCAGCTCACCTAACAGAGAACACTGACAAAGCAGCAACTCAGTATTGGGCCTCTTCCCACACTTGGTCCACAAATCCAGACCTTTCTTTGCAGTTTTCCACATCTATCATGCCAGGTCAAAGGAAGCCCAAGCGGATAAAAAGATGGAGACAATTTATTAATGCTCAAGAATTCAAGTGGCCTACCAACCAAAGTTGTACCTTAAGCCTGATCCAGTCTTGGAAGATCTCTTTTGTTTCTCTCTTTGATAAGCCAAATTAAAAAGGGGTGGGGGGCGCTATTTGGGCAACAGCACTGTTGGACAGCAAGCTAAGTTGACACGTGCACAACAGCATCTCACATGGACATGGGTTCAAGGCCCAAATGCTCTACTTCTGACTGAGCAACCTGTGAATGCACCTGGGAAGGCAGCAGAAAATGAACCAGGTCCTTGGGCATCTGCCACTCCTGTGGGAGACATGGAGGAGGGCCTTGACTCCTCATTCAGCCGGGCTCCGGCCCAGTTTCCCAGTTACTTCAATCATTTAGTAAGTGAAACAACAGGAGGAAGATGTGTGCACGCGTGCGCATGCACACACACGTGTGTCTAACTGCTTAGACAGTGCCAGGCTGAGGCCAGGAGCTCTGAGCTTCGTCTGGGTCTCCCACATCAGCACAAGAACCCAAGCACTTGGACCATCTTCCACTGCTTTCCCAGTCACATTAGCAGGGAGCTGGATCAAAAGTGGAGCAGCCAGGTCGCACCTAGGTAATAGAACGGCACTCACATGGGAGGCTGGCATTGCAGGCAGAGGTCTTACCAGCTGGGCAACGACAGGCTCTCTTCCCTCTAACTCTGCCTTTCAAATAGAATATTATAAAAGCTAATAATTTTCAAAAACTTAAGTTTTTTGATTGTTTTGAAATCCAAGGGGGTCTCTGTAACTCACCCTAAGTCAAATTAAGTAAGTGGTGAAAGTCTACCCCTTCGCAGTTATTACCTGGATAAGTTGTTGATGAGCCACATTGCCACAGAAGAAAGTCTGCTGATCATCCACAAAACCCATCAGTTCAGTTTCCTCCACTTCCTCCCCATTTAACATGAGAACTCTGCAACAGACACAAATCTCGGTCAGCCTGGGAGCGCCTCCACACCTCCCAACCTTGACACCAGCACCTAAAGCAGGCACAAGCCCCACCCCTACCTGGTCTGGCCCACAAAAGAGAGCACGAGAGTGTCATCAGTGTCACGGTTGGGGTCAGACCGCAGCGGCCATAAGCCTACAAAAGAAACCAGGATTAAGATGCAAACCAGAGACCAACACCTAGCTTGAACTCGTGTCCCACAGACTCCTAGGATGAGTATGGATCCCGGAGTCATATTCCTGAGCTGAAATCCCTTCTCAGCTCCTTCCTCCTTTAAGACTAAAGAAGAGATTTTCAAAACTGTTTAGAGCCTGATACTTTAAATTTTTATTTTAGATTGGAGAATATTTCCATATCTCACTTTCACACCTTGATCTTCAATCCACAACTCAGATAAGTGATCCATACATTTTTTATCTTTCCAAATTTTTTAAGAAAATACACTACAAAATATCAGTAAAATAAAATAGCTAATCATATACTGTGTGTGCCCTTGCTTTTTCACGTAACAAAAAGGGGATGTCAAAAAGTCTGTGGAAAACTAAAAAGATCTGTTGCAAAAAGGAAAATCTTGAAACCCGTGTACGTAAGGCGGTCTTAAGAAAGTTCATGGATAATACACATTATGAAAAAAACTACACGGGGGCTCGGCACTGCAGCTCAGTAGGTAAAGCTGCCTCTACACCGCCAGCATCCCACATGGACACTAGTTCCTGTCCCAGCTGTGCCAATTCTAATCCAGCTTCCTGGATGGCCCTGGGAAAGCAGAGAAAGATAGCCTAAGTTCTTGGTTCCCTGAATCCACATGGGAAACCCCGAAGAAGCTCCAAGCTGCTGGCCATTTGGAGACTGAACCAGTGGATGGAAAAATCTTTTTCCTTCTCTCTCTGAATCGGCCTTTCCAATAAGAAATAAATAAATCTTTTTTAAAAATTACATCTTTCTATAATACTGACAGTCCGATGCTTCTTTTCAGGTGCTATTAGCTCTCTTCCATCAACATCAAATGTCACTTTTTTTGTTTTTGCTTTGTTTTAAAGTTATTTTATGTATTTGAAAGGCAGTTACAGAGAAAGGGAAGGAGAAGAAGAGAGAGATCTCCCATCTGCTGGTTTACTCCCCAATTGGCCACAGGGCCAGAGCTGAGCCTGACCAAAGCCAGGAGCTAGGAGCGTTCCAGGTCTTCCATGTGGGTGCAGGGTCCTGAGGACTTGAGCCACACTCAGAATCAGACTGGCAGCACAACAACCAGGACTCAAACCGGCACCCATATGGGATGCCAGCATCACAGGTAACGGCTTTAACCCACCACACCACTCAGGTCCCTGCCACGCAGTTCTTACTAACAATATTTTTCAGTTTACTTGTGAACTTTTAAATATGTTTATGCTTCTACCAATTGATCTGCTCTGCATTTTTAAACTCTTCATTTCATCTGCCTTCTGCTAGCTGCTACCATAATACGTCTTCAAGACGTAAAAGAGGGCCTGACAGAGTAGCCTAGTAGCCTACTGGCTAAAGTCCTCACATTATACACACCAGAATCCCATATGGGCTCCAGTTCTAATCCTGGTGGCCCCGATTCTCATCCAGCTCCCTACTTGTGGCCTGGGAAAGCAGTCGAGAACAGCACCAAAGCCTTGGGACCCTATATCCATGTGAGAGAGCCAGAAGCTCTGGGCTCCTGGTTTTGGATCGGCTCAGCTCCAGCAACTGCATCTAATTAGAATGAATTAGCAAATGGAAGATCTTTCTGTCTCTCCTCCTCTCTGTATATCTGCCTTTCCAATAAAAATAAATAAATCTTAAAAAAAAAAAACTTACAAGAGAATAAGAGGCCAGTCACTCCACTAAGATCTGTACCCTAAACCCACCAAAAGGCTACCTTTGATGCCTGGTAAGTCAATGCTGGCGTGTTCATGGATTCCAATCCCATTCCGGATGATCCGCAAGGAACCTTCCTTAAAAGCACCAGAGCAAGTGACCAGCTGCAAGTAGAGAAAAGGTTTCTGAGTAAGCCCCTCAAGAGACCAGAGCAACCACTGATGCCCAGAAAGTTAGCAAGTTAAAAGACGCAGACCCAGCAGTCACTCATCTCCCAAGTCTCTCAAACTTAACAAGACATCCTCCTCCAAGCAACTATGAGCTCCTACCACTGCTCCTCGGAAGCTTGCTTAAATCCTTGCAACTGAGTCTATCAGAATATAGTGCCTGGAGCCAGACAGGCCTGCCATTTGTTAGTTAGATGACACTGGGCAAGTTGCTTAATGATCCTAATCCATACATTTCCTCACTTAGGACATGGCCAGGAGTGGCTGTCTAACAGCTTTCTAACAGGGTGCTCCTATGATCATCAATAATGTATATAAATAAGTGCTCGACAGGGCAAGATAGGCAATCAATAGATGGCAGTTATCCTTGCACCCTGGGGATTACTGAGTGAGGCTCTTAAAAGCATCTTCAGCACACACTTTCCACCCTGGATTAGCAAAGCCAGGAGGCCACAGGTTGAGTGTACGTTCCAAACATTCATTCCCAAGATGACCCTTACCTGGCCCTGGCCCTGCCTCTCCAGGTCCACCACACACATATCCACAATGGGTCCTAAATTAGTAAAAGTTTCCATGGCTACTACATATGAGCCTTGTTCGTTGCTGTCAACATTGAGCTAAAAAGAAAGAACAAAATTAGCGCTGGAATAATCCTAACAGACCATACCAGAAAGATGGCTAGTGTCCAAAAGAAATTCTCAAACCTGTTAGCTCCACTATTGTGCTCCTTAGACATTTCTAGAAAGAGACTGTTAAGTGACATTATTGCCATTCAAATGACCTCCAAACCAGCTAGCAATGAATTTTTAAAAGTTAATGTAAGCTGTTCATGTGCCTTTTTGTGTAGGTTTAAGGTCCAAAATCACCACATTCTTGAGGGAATCCATTATATTCGACCATGTATTGACAGCAGCCAGCAACTCAACTGGCATGTCTGCTGAAGGAGCCATTAGAACAAGCTGGTAGGCAGCAAGATGTTTCGCTGTTTGTTTGGCTGTGTTTTAGGGAGTAGATATTAAATGAGCCAAGTTGTAAGGTAGATAGCAGGGAAGTAGGTAAACTGAACAAACAAAAAATTGATAAAGAAAATGTAAGAAAAAACATTCAAAAAGAACAAAACAAAACGTCTTCTCACCTTCACTAGCTGGGAGTCACCCAGGCGAGACCCAACAAAGACAACTCCATTATCAAGGTACGTCAAGCACTCAGCAATAGAAGTCTGGAAGAAAAGGGAGGGCGCCAAAGAAATCAGGATGGACACTCCGTGGGAGCCAGAGACCTTCCCCCTCAGAGACACCTGCTGAGAAAAGGCCTCCACAGGTCAAACAGAGGAAAAGGCTCTCTATGCCACATTCCGAAGTCACAGATTTTTGAAGTCTCAAGACTTCTCATTTAGCTCACTCCCACACACAGGAAAGTGCACCTTTTACCAAGTTTTCAGGTGTTTATTTGGTCACAGTTACTCTAGTCTCCACAGAGTAACTGGAAACTTCCAAAACACACACACACTGCGTAAGTATTAAGCTCCAGGGGACCTCTTTGCAGAACTTAGCAGATTAATTTCATACTGTTTCCTTTGATTTTCCTTTCTGTCAAGGCTTGAGGTGGTAGTGCCCTGAGAGCTTCTCCCACTTCTAACTCATTCAAATATCAACTTCCACATCAGAACCAACATTTTTTTTTTGGTCAAGTGTTAACATAATTTCCAGAGTCAAAATGCAGGACTCCACACCTGGAAGAAGTGTGGAGGAACAGGAACAAGCCTACCTCTCCAAGGAGTTCCACACGGAGATCCTTGAGGGTGACGGTGCCGTCCATCTGTTCCTCCTTCTCTAAAAGCAGCATGAAGAGCCGCCCTTCCATGTCGCCCAGCAGGTATCGAGAACCATTGGGGTCCACTCGGTTGTGACACACGATTGTGCTTTGCTGCCAACAGGAAGGGAACAATCTTTACACAGTATCTTCCACAACCAGAAAGCAAACGCTATGGCCTGCACACACAACATACAGATGATGGGAAATGAACAGCTTTTATTTTTAATTTTCTGAGGAGCTCAAATAATACCTTAAAGGTTTGCTCAAATTCTACTGGAAAAATGATACATACAGAATAGGAGGCGGCTCTAAGTACTCAATAGACTACAAACACTACCATATATATTGTTCCTTATCCTCAATGACAGAAAAACTTAGGCTTTTAAGGTTTCATTTTTACAAACAGAAAGTTTAAGACTTGAAATCTTTATATCAATTTTTAAAGTCTATAATTTATCACTGCATTACTTTATATTATTTATGCACTGAAAGCAATTAATAGAATTTCTGAGGCTGGTGTGGTGCCTAGTGGTTAAAGTCCTCGCCTTGCATGTGCCAGGATCCCACATGGGCTCCAGTTCATATCCTGGCAGCTCCACTTCCCATCTAGCTCCCTGCTTGTGGCTTGGGAAAACAGCAGAAGACAGGCCAAAGCCTTGGGACCCTGTACCTGCATGGGAGAGAGACCTGGAGAAATCTGGCTTCAGATCGGCTCAGCTCTGGCCATTGCAGCTGGTTGAGGAGTGAACCAGCAGATGGAAGATTTTCTTCTGTGTTTGTCCTTTTCTCTGTAAATGTCTTTCCAATAAAATAAATAAATCTTAAAAAAAATTTTTCCCTTCCTAAGGTTGTCCCAGTCAATACGAAATAAACCTATTTATTTATTTTTAAGGCGCAGAAACAGATCTTCTATCCACTGGTTCATTACTCAAATGCCTGCAAGAGCCAGGGCTGGCCCAGGATGAAACTCGATGTGGGTTTCCCACAGAGTAGTGGGGTCCAAACATCTAAGCCATGACCTGCTGCTTCTCAAGGTAGCAGGAAGCTAGAATTGGAAGTGGATCCAGGAATTAAACCCAGACACTCCAAGATGGTTTATGGGTATCCCAATCAGCTTGTTAACTGCTGAGCAAACGCGTGCACCAGGTAAACCTAGTTTATTATTTTGCTTGGTTAGCAAGCAAGCTGAGTCTAACCAAATCAGGTCATCAATCTATATTCCCAAAGTCTAGACACAGTAGCTGTGTGACAACCAGCCATGACAAACTAGGAGAAAAGGAGCAGCACAGGCTGGAAAAAAGATGGAAGGCAGGAAAAGATGAAAGAAAGCCACTCACCTTGATGATAGGAGGCGCAATCGCCAGGTACTTGTCACCATTGTGGTAAGTGATGGATTCCTGTCCAATGATGATGGCTCCTCCAAAGGGCTCTGGGACTGCAAGACAAAGATAACATCAGAACGTTCAGCACCAGCTGAGCCGCTGAGCGGAGGTGCCAAGGGCATTGGTGCAGCTAGCCCTGAGGCAAATTTTAATACAAATCATGATTTTAAAAGAACACCAAGGGGCCCACATTGTGCCATACCAAGTAAAGCTGCCACCCACAGTGCCAGCATCCCATAAACAGTCTTAATGTTTTATAGTCAATTCCTGCACCAAATGAAAGCAAAGCTGTACCTCTGGGGGGTTGGAACAGTGAAAAACAATCTCAAAGACAAAAATGGAAAAAGCAAAATCTAACACATTCAGTTTGGGTACTGAGTACTGAAAGGAAGGGAGCAAAGTGTAGGAATCTGACCCAGACTTGAGGCATAGGCAAATGTTCTGGAGACGCCCACCAACCTGCAATCACCATGGAGGCTTCAGCTTCTACATTTTCCTGTTTCCAAGGGCCCTTGTTGAATTCCTTCTCCCGAAGGGACACCTCATAGGTTTTGACGTGCCGCCCTTGAGGGTCCTGGGAGGAAAAGTGGAATGGTTAGCCCCTAGAAGGGTGAGACAAGCTGGCGTCCCGAGAGCAACAATGCTGTCATTTAAGCCCATCTACTAACAAGCTGTCAATCACCAGTCCAGCCTGTGATTGAGTTTTGTGTAAACCGTTAGAACCTCAGATCTGTTTCTAACTGAACCAAGTCTAATGAACTTGAGAAATCAACTTGAGTATACCAAATACAATACAAAATACTGTGTGTGTGTTCCATGGCCTCAATATACAAACCAGAAAACCATATTAACATAAATCAAAGAATAAAAAAATGGTGAGACACAGTTCTTAGAAGCATGGATAAAGGCCCAGCATGGTGGCCAAGTGGTTAAAGTCCTCGCCTTGAATGCGCCAGGATCCCAAATGGGCGCCGATTCTAATCCCGGCTGCTCCACTTCCCACCCAGCTCCCTGCTTGTGGCTGGGAAAGCAGTCAAGGACAGAACAAAGCCTTGCAACTCTGCACCTGCATGGAAGACCTGGAGGAGGTTCTAGGTTCCTGGCTTAAGATTGGCGCAGCACCAGCCATTGCACTCACTTGGAGAGTGAATCATCAGACAGAAAATCTTCCTCACTGTCTCTCCTCCTCTCTGTATATCCAACTTTCAATAAAAATAAATTATATATATTTAAAAAACAAGAAACATTGATAAAGAATGACAATTTGGACCCAGCTATCCCGCTCCTAGGAATATACCCAAAAGAAATTAAAACTACATATGAGAAGCGGATCTGTAATCATATTTACAGCAGCACAATCTACAATAGCAAAGACATGGAAACAACCCAGATGCCAATCCAAAGAGGAGTAGCTAAAGAAACTGTGGCACATCTACTCCATGGAATATTATTCAGCCATTACAAAGAATGAAATTATACAATAGAGAACATTAGACTCAGTGAAATGTATGTCAATCCCAAAAAGACAAATACCATGTTCTTTCTAATATAAGGAATCCATCATGCAAATTGGAATGTATAGTGGTACAGTAATAAAGACTACCAAATCCAGATGTGAAGACATAATGCAACATGCATCTCTGCTTCCAAACAAAAGATGACTCCCAACAAAAGTGTTGGATATATCTAGAAAATGGGATGAAGGACGGTTTGACACTGTACCAGCAATGTCAGGGCACACTTCAATAGCAGACTGATGGAATTGTAACTCCTTATGAAGAGCTGTGACATTATGGGAAAAATCAATTGGGGAGGATGGAAATTGAGGGGAGGAGAAAAATTTTTTAATTAAAAAAAAAAAAAAAGAATGACACTTGGTGTTGGGGGCACTGACAATTTCCTGCCCTGTGATTGGCCCTTTGCCCTGATTGGTGTGCCTTGGGTATCTTTAAGCTGATTGGACAGGTTTGACAGTTAAGCGGGGACTTGGCGGGGGAGGGGCTGGAGCATAACGGTCACAACGGTCATAACGGTCACAACGGAAGATCAGAATAAAGCGCCTTGGAGACTCTCTCAAGTGTCGGGTGATTTCTTCCGTGGGACGGGAGGACCCCCGATAACTTGGGAGAACAGAATATAATGCTCCTCTAATGTTAGTAAAAACAAAACTCTTCAGCAAAGGACAGCAATGTGGTGTAGCATGTAAAGTTGCTATCTATTGCCATAAAGAATGACATTTGGGATCCAGCTGATAACCCATATAGATGCCAGTTTGAGTCCCAGCTGCCCCACTTCAGATCAGTTCCTTGCTAATGCGCTTAGGAAAGCATCAGCAGATGGCTCGAGTACTCAGATCCCTGCACCCACGTGGGTGCGTTTTTTCTTTAGCCATTTAGGGAATGAGCCAGTAGAAAGAAGATCCTCTATGTTACTCTCTATGTAACTCTTACAAATAAATCAATCTTTCTTTAAAAAGATTAGCCTAGCGGCTAAAGCCTTTGTCTTGCATGCACCAGGATCCCATATGGGAACCGGTTCTAATTCCAGAAGCCCTGCTTCCATCCAGCTCCCTGCTTGTGGTCCGGGAAAGCAAGAGAGGACAGCCCAAAGCTTTGGGACTCTGCACCTGCGTGGGAGACCTGGAAGAAGCTCCCGACTCCTGGCTTCAAATTGGCACAGCTCCAGCCATTGCAGCCACTTGGGGAGTGAATCATCAGACGGAAGTTCTTCCTCTCTGTCTCTCCTCTCCTCTGTATATCTTTCTAATAAAAATAAATAATTGTTTTAAGAAATGTACTAATACGGGGCCCAGCACCATGGCTCAGTGGCTAAATCAACAGTCTGGGAAAGCAGTAGAGGACAGCCCAAAGCCTTGGGATCCTGCACCCACATAGGAGACCCGAAAGAAGCTCCTGGATCCTGGCTTCAGATTAGCTCAGCTCCCATTGTGGCCAGCTGGGGTGTGAACCAGCAGACAGAAGATCTTTCTGCCTCTTCTCTCTGTAAATCAGCATTTCCCATAAAATCTTTAAAATATTTTTACTAATAGGACTTTTCCTTACCTTAGACATTACACAATAAAATTTAAAATACATATATATTCAGTCCTCTCACTATCGATACTACCATACGTTTTTTTCTGAACCATGCTGGTCCTAGAGCTGCATTTAAGAGTCTAAAGTCACCTTTAAGAAGTGAAAGGGCAGACACAGAGGTAGCTAGGTTCAGTCAGTGGAAGAGGGCTTCAACAAAAGCCAAAGAATTCAAGGAATTCAACAATGTGCTTTAGGACAGGGATATAACATATTAATCACTGTTACTGAAGGTACTGAAACACTCAACATGAGAATATGCAAGTACCTAAATATTTGTCAGATCAAAATTGTAGCATAAGAAATAGTCATTTTCAGTGGATAAAATTATTTTCCCATCAAGGAATAAGGGTAAGAGCCAACTTGACAAAAAGTCAAGTAAGAGGCATCGTGCAGGTGATGACTTCAGTCTTCTACACCACAATGCCAGCCCCAAATAAATCAATCCTCAAAAAAAAAGTAGATTAGGGCCTGAGACACACATACAAAAGTGAAGATGGTCACAACTGCAGACCTGAGGGTGGTAACAGAAAGTCTCGAATAATCAACAGCCAGCATTGTAGCACAACAGGTTACACCTCTGCCTGTGATGCCAGCACCCCATGAGATCTGGTTCAAGTCCCAGCTGCTCAGTTGCTCCACTTCCAATCCAGACCACCAAAAAAATGCACCTGGGAAAGCAGCAGAGAATGCCCCAAGTGCTTGGGCTCCAGGTTTCCACCTGATCCAGTAGATGGAAGATCTGTCTCTCCCTCTCTGAGGTAACTTTCAAATAAATAAATAAACCTTAGTTCATTTTCTGATTAATAAAATCAAACAAAATCTCCTAAACAAGTTTCAATTTCATCATTTACTGTGACAAGAAACACAAAAATACACCTGCATTGGGCCCGGCACAGTGGCACAGTGGTTAAGGTCCTCGCCTTGCATGCCCGGGATCCCATATGGGCACCGGTTCTATCCCGGCAGCCCCGCTTCCCTTCCAGCTCCCTGCCTGTGGCCCGGGAAAGCAGTCGAGGATGGCCCAAGGCTTTGGGACCCTGCACCCGCGTGGGAGACCCGGAAGAGGCTCCTGGCTTCGGATTGGCATAGCATCAGCCGTTGCACTCACTTGGGGAGTGAATCATCGGACGGAAGATCTTCCTCTCTGTCTCTCCTCTCTGTACATCTGCCTTTCCAATAAAAAAATAATAGTAAAAATAAATCTTAAAAAAAAAAAATAAAAAAATACACCTGCATTCCACCACTTGAGACGGTTATGTGTCCACACACTGCATAGAACCGGACTGTCACGTCCTTCCATCCTGTATCAAACACAGGCAGGAGAAATGACCTCGGGCTGCAGGGCCGTTGCTAAAAGGCTGATTTTATCAAGACACTGGCATGTTTGTCTGGTGTTCTGTCACCCCACCCCCACGTCACAGATCTAGACCAGAGAACAGCTGCCCAGGATCAGCCCTGCTGAAGTTTTAGGCATGAACTAAAATAGAAGTCCTCAGCCAGCAAGTCACCAGAGTGCTAGTGAAAACACAGGCCTCTCCTTTCTAGAAGATACAAAGAAGACATTCCCAAGACACTTTATCTTTCCCTACAAAGGCTAGTTCTATATCATGTCTCCATTGCTAGATCTTAATCCCCATGCATGCTAGTAAGAGAGACAAAGTATAAACTGGGTCACCGTATAAAATCTCCCAGGCCCACACCACTATAATCTGCTAAGGTCCAGACAGTTGGCTGCCTGCAGACAAAGTACCAGGACCTTGAGGGAGCAAGCAATATGACTCACATTAATTGTATGATTTGAAACATCTCAGAAAAACATACATTAAACACTTGTCTCTACCACCATACAGAGAAATTCTGATAAGTAAAAACCAGTTCCCATTAGGTCAAATCATAATTTTCCCCTTTCTCTTCCCAATCCAGTACCTGGTAGACAAAGCAAATGGTAGGTGCTTGGCAACCATATAGGAACTTGACGTCAATAACATGCAACTCCTCCAGGCGAATGTTGAAGGCCTTCAGCTCTTTATTGTCCCGATCCAGTGGAATGACCTTGAAGAGGCCATCGTAGAGTCTCAAGCCGATCATCCGGCATTCGGGGTCAATGATGCCAATAATGCCAGTCTCTGAAGGGCGGCCTATGCGGTCCTGAGAAACAAAACTGGCATTAGGAAGACTCGGCTCTCTCAGAGTAACAGCACGCCAGGCACCACTCTCCCAGGACAAAGTGAGGCTAGCTAGCAGAGTCCAAATGCCAGCATACAGCTTTCTCTGAAATGCTGCATCTTCTTACCCTATTCCCAGATGTCCTCTCTTCAGAGAAACAACAAACCCTTAGTGCCTTCTCCTTGCTTCATGTACAGCATTGAATCAAGACAGTTCTCCCTGGATGATTCTCAGGATCTCGAAGCGGCCACTCACCTGGACATTGCCGTGGGCCCGCGTGATGATATCAATGCTCTCACCACTCTGCTTATACTCCAGGATGCAGGCGTTGTACTTCGCTGTCAGGATAAACAGCAGGTCCTTGTTCTCCCCCTGGAATTCAACATCATGCTATCAAAACAAGTTCTTTTGAAAAATAACAACCTGTTTTGACCTTACATGCTTTAAGCCTTTAGAACTTTTTAACTCCTCTCCCAGAAAACACAGTGTGAGCGAGGCGCACTCACATCCTCAGGGTGTGTACAAAAGGTCCAACCTCAGGCTGTAAACAACTAGTCCTCACTATTACGAAACAACTTCTGTCTTCATATGTTTCAATCTCAAGATAATCTCAAACTTTCCATTCAAATTCTTACAGATGAACGCAATGCCTCCTCCACTCTACTCCAAGTATATACAGAAAAAACGTGGGGAGAGAGTAACAATGGAACCTAAAAGGACCTTACTTATTTAACTCTGATTTCAAAACTAAATCTCTTGCTCAAATGGTTTTAATTAACCCTTTAATAATCAACACATTGGGTCTGGCATGACAGCGCAATGGCTAAATCCTCACTTTGCAAAGCACCAGGATCCCATATGGCCACCAGTTCATGTCTTGGCTGTCCATTCCCATCTAGCTCCCTACTTGCGGCCAGAGAAAGCAGTGGATGGCCCAAAGCCTTGGGATCCTGGCTCCCACATGAAAGACCAGCTGGCTCCTGGCTTTGGATCAGCTCAGCTATTTGGGGAGTGAACCAGTGGATGGAAGGTCTTTCTGTCTCTCCTTTTCTCCATAAATCCAATCTATTTTTTCAAATAAATAAATATATCTTTTTTTAAAAATAATCAATCATTGCTTTTTTGTCAGATTCAGTTAAGGCACAATGAATATAACCACTTCAATTATAACCATGACGATCTCTGTTAACCTAACAGTATAGGAATGTCTGCTATATGGATCTGTGGCATTACCCAGGGGATTGGACCGTGCTGTCCTCACTCTGTAGACTGAGAAACCAAGGTTCTGCAAGGAGCCTTAAGCAAGGATTAGAGACAAGAAACCCAGTACCACTCTAGAGCCTGTTGTAAATCATTAGGCAACTTGGCGACCCACCTCAGCTGCTTTAGTTTCTAGTTCCTAAAGAACTCAATGATATAAAAGTTTCACCTTAAGCAACCTCCCCTTACACTTACAGGGAACTTGTTCAAGAATACACTAAAATCTGCCATTCAAAGGCACTGGGGAAGTGGACCAGCAGACGGAAGATATCTCCCTCTTTCAGGCAAATGAAAACAAACTTTTTTCTTTTTAAATAACAGACTGAACACTTTCTCTGCTAAGCCTTACTCACCTACCCGAGGCAATCGTACTAACATTAACACAAAGTCACTTGCAACCAACAGTTCTGCCCGCACTGGCTACTTCCAGCTCAGGCTTACCTTAGGCCTGAAAAGCTCCATGACGGCAATCTTCCCATACATGCCCACCTCCTTGACGGGCCGAAGCCCCTCTGCGGTGACCACATAGATCTCTAACCTCGTGTTTTTGGCAATCAGCAGGTTCAAGTCTTCCGCTGAAGTGAAGTGTCCTGAAAAGAACAGACCCTCTCACTTCTGATGCCAGAGCCAGTCTTCTAAAATGCTCAGGCCACTACTTCCTACACCTAAATCCCTCCTGAATTCTCATTTCCAGCCATTACACTCCCAGGCCAATTCCAGCACCTCCCTCCCGCCCCACGCAAGACCCTCCCTACCCACATTAAACTAAGCTTACTTGCCTAATCCGACTAAGAAACTCGGAAAGGCCTACTACAATTAGTGTTGTTCCCCCTCAAAACATCTCTAGCTAGCGCACCTGAAAGAGTTCATCCCTTCCACTTCCCCAGGTAAAATACAAGCATTCTCTGCGGCTGTGCACCGCACGGGTTTGTCCATAGCAGCCCAGCACTTTCCCCTTAACTACCCCTCTTAAGTGCCTCCAGGTGTCTGAACCACCGCCTTCCACCTGGGACTCCCCAATTCAGATTTACAAAAACATCCAAGCTCGGGGTCCGCACAGTCAGCTAAGAACACGCGTTCCACAGGACCAGTCCTGGGTTCTGGACCTCGGCGCCCTCAACCAGGTTTTAAGGCCAACCCAACCCTCTTCTCCCGCGACGCCCTCCCGTAAACAACAGCCCCGGGTAAAAGGCTGAGTCCGTCGACGAACGAGTGTGGACATGGCTGCCCCCCGCTCCGCCACCCCCCTCGGGCCCCCGGGACTCCGCCCCAAGCCAAGCCCGACCCGAAAGTCGCCATCCCCGACCGCCCCTTCTCCCTCAGCCACAGGGGGGCCATGCCCGGGCCCAGGCGGTGGGGAACAATCAACACTCGGCTCTCGGTGCCCCTGGGCCCGGGCCCTGTCCACAGGAGACCTACAAAAGCCGCTTCTAACCCCACCCGGCGCCCGGTCCTCCTCGACCACCCGCTAGGCCTCCGCTCCCCGCACTGTCCCCTCGTCGGGTCCCCAACCCCAAAAAGCCTCACCGGTCACACAGCCGTTCACGGCGGTGGGCTTCTGCGCAGTTACCACGTAGTTGTACGACATGTTGAGGCCTGAGGCGGCCCGTCAGGACCCAAGCGCCAAAGACAAACACGCGGAAACGACCCAGGAGACCGACGGACCCCCGACGCCCCGAGCCGCACACAGCCAACTCCGCTGCCGCTGCCTCCGCCCCGAGACACGTTGCAGCCCAGAGCGTCCAGGACGCGGGGCACCACGGGACGGCCTCACCTGGCCTCTTGGAGGACTCGCGGAGCCGGAGGCAGCCAACCCGGCGAGGCCCCGCCCCGAACTCCCGCCCCGTCCGTTACCGCCAGAGCCCGGAGTACCCGGATGAGGGTGCGCCTTTGGGAGGGGGGGCGGTTGTTGTGCAGCCGCGGCGGACGCTCCTGAGGTTACTGTTGGCGGGCTCCCAGGCGGGGTGGGGTGCTGCGCCCTCGGAGCTCGCCCGCCGGCCCCCAGACCGGGGCCTCTGGCCCTTCCTTTGCTTCCAAGAGCTTTCTAGAAAGAGGCCCCGAGAAGGGGGGGAGGCGAAAATGATTTATGCACCCGGGAAAGCCTTGGCTTCCCAACTCTCCCAGCTCTTCCCCCTTCCCCGGCGGCTTGTGTCCTCCTTGTCTTCCCCCCACCGATGCTCGCGTCTCCCCTTGAGTTTAATTCTCCGGACTTTGAAGGGCCAGTGAGGTCATTTGTGTGGTGTCGCCCAGGCTGTACACATCTGCACACAAAAGCCGAATTCTCCAGTGAGAACTGGCACGTTCCGGTCAGGCCTGCGGGCCACCCTGTGTGGGACAGGCTCCTGAGGAGCCTGAGGGGGGACCACGTGGCGCTGTGGCATGTCAGGGAGGAGCCTAGCCGTGCTGGGCAGAAATGGAAACTTGTTTACTCCAATTTCTCCCCATGAAGTCCAGGCAGGAGGCAGGCCCCTGGCCACACACAGAGGGCCAATACCCGGGATGAGGCGCCCCTGAGCCAGGCCGAAGCCAGGCGAGCTAAAATATAATGCCGTTGTGGTGTCCTGGGATTCCTGGCAAGCAGGGATTTTGCATAATTTGGGAGAAAAACCCAGATTCCGAAGGCTGGACCTGGGGCGGGGGTTTAGTCCCTGGACAAGAGCTCTTTTCTTTCCCAGAAGGAAGATGGGGTCATCACAGCTGACTCCCTCCTGCGTGTGGGACCAATGAGGGCAAGTGGGGGCAGCTGTCCTAACTGCACCTCCCTAAATGATGTCTGTGTAGGAGGTGGAGTTACCCTGTGGATAACTTTGCTCCTGGGTGATGAGGTGGGCACCATTCGTGGGCATGCAGTTGGCCCTGTGCCCAGAACAAATCGATCTGCCTCGTGGCAGCCAAGTGCAGGCCTGAACCTTGGTCAGCCCCACACTCTTCTCCATCCTCAGCCCACGTACTAGAGTTTGGACTTGGATCGAAGTCTGGGCCAGCTCCCTAATGACTAGGGCACTGGAAGGGTGGTTGTGCCAGTCAGCGTCAAGTGCCTGCTTACCGCTGCAGGTGCTACTGCCACCCGAGGATCATCCAGTGTGTCACCTAGCCTCAAGTTCTTCAGTGCAAAGGCTTGAACGCAGCAGAGCCTGCCCACCATGGTGAGTCGGCGGGGGCATGGAGGGCAGGGCAGGGGAGGGACCCCATGGGCTTCAGTGAGTAGAGACAACTCAGCCATGAGCATACTGGAGTTCTTATACCGTGAGCCAGAGGTGCTGCTGCCTCCTGGGGTTCAGAGAGTCTTAAGAGCCATTCAGCTGGTCTGTCTGCCTTCCTTCCTCTGTGTTCTGGAAGCCACTGGCCTCAGCCAGGCCTGGGGCCACAGCCTGTACGTCTGGCTGCAGCGCCTGTGGTCCAGCCTGGGCCATGCATTTCAGTCACAACATGAATGGTCACTTGTTCTGGGATGGACACTGGACCACCCTGAGGAAAGACCGGACACCTCTTTGAGCCTGGAGTGGGAATTCATGGTGTAGGAGACTTGCAAGGTCCCTGGGCTTTGCCCGCAGGCTGCACTCAAACTGATCTCAACCAAATCAAGCCACTCTTAAGTGCAGGGATGAGCTGAGCAGGGTGACCTCTATGTGCCTCTTCAGCTGTAAATGAGCCAGACAGAGGCCTCCCGCTGGTGCCTGTGCAAGGCCCATCAGACCAGATTCCCAGGGCCCTTGCACAATGCCTGATTACCTCTTTTTTGCATCCCCTCAGGCCACATGGCCCTGAGTCCTCCTGGGCCCTGGTGTAGGGATGGTCCTGGGCGAGGCATGTCATCAGGCTGAGCAGAGCACAGTCTTAGAGCTTGGCCCTGCTGGACCTGAGCTTGGAATTGAAAGCATCTCACATGCCTGTGGCTTCTGAGAGCCACCAAACCTGTGACCTTCCTAGGACAAGACCTCTGCCACATCCACAGAAGGAGAGACAGAGAGAAAGATCTTCCATCTGCTGGTTTGCTCCCTAAGTGGCCACAGTGGCCCGTGCCAATCCTATCAGGAGCCAGGAGCTTCTTCCAGGTCTCCCACGTGGGTGCAGGGTCCCAAGGCTTTTTGGGCTGTCCTCCACTGCTTTCCCAGGCCATAAACAGGGAGATGAATGGGAAGTAGAGCAGCCAGGACACGAACCGGCACCCATATGGGATCCGGGTGCGTGCAAGGCAAGGACTTTAGCCACTAGGCAACCACACTGGGCCCAGAATTGAGCCATCCATGAGGCTGACACACCTGGCTGCTTGCTTGCAAGGTCACTTAACTATGTCTCAGTTTCCTCAGTGGGTGAATTCGTCCTCTATGGGCTTATTAGGAAGATAAAATGAGACATTCTCGACAGGTTAGCCACATTCTGAAGCAGGTGACTTGGTTCAGGCCCTGACCAGACCCAAAGAAAGCCAGCAGGCAGGCATCAAGATCAAAGGAACCAAATAGCCACTGGCAGGCTCAGAAAGAGGCCACTTAGGAAGTGTGCCTTGGCACGCTTAGGCCACCAGGTGGCACTAGTAGCCCCACCCTCTGAGTCCCTGTTGGTCCAGTCTCACTGGCTCTTACAAGCCCAACCCACCACAGGGGTTCAAGTGATTCCACCTTTTCTGAGCCTGTTCCAAAAAGAGAGTAGTACCCTTTTATTGAGCTCATACTGTATCACAGGCCTGTGCTTTATCCTACTAAATCCCCATTTCACAGAGGAAGAACTGAGCTCAGAACAACCGTGTGTCTTCCCTCCTACTCACAGCTAAGGAGCTAAGAGGAATGGCATTTGAACCCCGGGCCCCTGCGACTGCAGGGCGCAAGCTGACACAGTGCTCACTTCTGCCTGCGCGTGCACATCAGCTCAGCTGCACCCAGCGGCCCTTGGCTGCAGCTCTCAGGCCAGCCTGCTCCAACCTCCCTGCTGAAGCTGGCCAGGGGCCAGGCTCCTCCTGCATCTGCAGAGGCCCTGCCCTCTTCTTCCTGCTTCTCACCAGTGTATCGAACTTGCTTCCTGGGGCCATCAGGATCTTTTGCACTCTGGGCCTGGGTTTATGCTCCTCTTCCTCACCCTCTTTTGTCAATCTAACTCCTGCTTACTCCCGCACAGATCTCCAGGATCCTCTCTGCTTACCCTCCTCCCTCCCGCCCCCATGCCACCCCAGTGCACTCCACAGAGGGTGGGAACAGTGGTCCGTTATTTTCACAAGCAGTGCCCAGCTCCAGGCCCGACCCACCAAGCAGTTGGTTGTGGGGCATGCTCAGGACCCCCCTCCCCGTATCCCCCAAAACAGGAGCCACTGCTTGAAGCTTCTCCTTTGACAGGAGAAAGTACTGAGCTCCAACTTGATTAAAATGTTTTTAATACTTATTTTTATTAGAAAGGCAGATTTACAAAGAGAAAGACACAGAAAGATCTTCTATCTGCTGGTTTACTCCCCAAAGGGCTGCCAGAGCTGAGCTGATCTGAGGCCAGGAGCTTCTTGTGGGTCTCCTATGTGGGTTCAGGGACCCAATGCTTGAACCATCCTCTGCTGCTTTCCCAGGCCACCAGCAGGGTGCTGGTTAGGAAGAGGGGCATGAACCTGCACTCATAGAAGATGCCAGTGCCTGAAGGATTAGCCAGTTGAGCCAACACTCCAGCCCCTAAAATGTTTTATAACAGAAGACTTCATTTCCCCTGGTTTCACTGAACCCATTGTTTCAGGAGAAGCTGAAGCCATGCTGCAAAAACTCTTCATAAATTAAGCATAAGTAAAGAATAAAACTAAATAAAAACTTAACTGAAGAGAGCTTCCAGAAAAATCCACCTGATAAAGTGTGGCTCAGCTCAGGGCACTGCTGTGTCCTTGACGATCCTGGGTGAATATGACAGGGCAGAGAGGAGTGTCTGTCCCTGCCAGCCTCACCCCTAACCTTCTCCCTGCTCCTCTCCTGCAGGCCTCCAAGAAGCTGTTGAACTCCGTGGCTGGCTGTGCCGATGATGCCCTTGCTGGCCTGGTGGCCTGCAACCCCAACCTGCAGCTTCTGCAGGGCCACCGTGTGGCCCTCCGTTCCGACCTAGACAGCCTCAAGGGCCGAGTGGCACTGCTGTCGGGTGGGGGCTCGGGTCATGAGCCTGCCCATGCAGGTGAGTACCCTGCAGTAAGGTGGGGGAAGCCGGACAGCAGATGCAGGCTGCTGGAAGAGCCACAGGGCAAGCATCAGGTGCAGGACAGCCCAGGGCAGAGTCAGACGCCAGGGCCCCACCCTTACTCCCCTACTCCCTCAGGCTCTGTCCTAGAGTGGGTCACAGCATCTCTGTGGACCTCCCTCTAGACTGGGCAGCATGGCTGTTTCCTTTCTGAGACCAGGTGACCCCATGAATTCCCCAGTTGTCCAGTCCCAGCTGACCCACTCCTTCATGACTTCCTCCCTGACTCTTCCATCCTGAAGGCTTGTCCCCTTGTGAATTCCTACCCTGATTCCTACAAACAGAACTTGTTTCTTGCTGGAGCCCAGGGTGTGAGACGTGCTTAACAGCCAGAGGAGGGCAGAGCCTAGGCTTTGCAGCGTGTGTGCCCATCCTTTGCCCCTGCAGCAAATCCATCGTTTGTTCAGCAAGCATTAATGAGCCTACTCTGTGCCTGGCACTGAACTGGACCCATGGAGCTAATGTGTCCTACTCTGCGGAGATAGACAGGCTTAGGGAAAGCCCAGTGACTGCAGACACAGTCTGTGCCCTCCCAACATCCTCTCCC